TATTCTTCTTTTTGATTCTTTTGATAAATCACTTAAATTTCCCTTACCTGTACTTTTCTTCTCAAAAACATTTTGATGGGTTGCTAAATGGAATAAAGAGAAACAATTTAATTGATAATTTTGTTTTCATTGCTTCAGAAACAAAAAGAATTGCTTGAACACAGAAAGCATATTCCTTAGAAAGAAATATAAATATACATAAAAAAGCTTCCTTTTTTAATAAAACATTTTTTATATTAAGATTGCATATTTTTTCTCGAACGAAACCAAAATCTTATAAAAGTAAACATCTAATAATTGCAAGAGGCTAACATATTTCCAAAAAAACAAAATTAAAGTTTATTTTCATAGCACAACCAAATTTCATAGCACAAAGCTTTTTGTATTGATCAGGCAGACGGAATATTCCGTAGTCAAATTTAATATAAAAATTAGAGGTACTGTGAGCACTGAGCTCACAAAATGATACCCCCAACAGCCTCTCATATGATTATAATGGCAAAGTCCATGTTTTGCTATGGGAGACCCGAAGTGTCAGATCAAAACAATGACTGTGTAATAAAGGATTTGTGAAAGTATGATTAAATTTTATTCCGTGGTATAGGAGGAATTGCGGATAAGAGTTGCGTATCCCTCAATATTATAGAAAGAATGACAGTGTCCATGATTTGCTATGGGAAACCCGAGATATGTGTCTGATCAAAATGTAAAATAGTGGGTGCACAATGGCACTATGTAGCAAAGATTCCTTGAAAGTCTTATTAAATTTGATTCAGTGGTACATGTATTTAACAGGCACGTAGCAACAGGGGGCAGGGGGGGGGGGCTGTCCCCCTTTTTTCCAAAGACTGTTTTTACTATTTGAAATGTTAATTGAAAGGCCGGTTGCCCCAACCTCCTTTTTTTTGTTGCAGAATAGTAAAATAAGGGATGTGTAGTAATGTATGAATAAAATTTGGTACTGAAAGAAGTTGGAAACCTCCCCCCCCCCCCCCCCCGAAATAGGATTTTCGAGTTCGGACAATTTTCCTTTTTTTTCTCTGGCTGCCCCCCCCCCCCCTTCAAAAACGATGCTACGTCCCTGTTTAAGAGGAGTTGCGATAAGAGACGGGTACCCCAAAACGTAAAGGACGGACATACGGACAGGCACCCCATTGCTATATATCCCCAGCTTTTCAAGCGCGGGGGGATAACAAAACAAAATACGGCCCAATGATAGGTTCTTTATGCTAACAAGATAATTATAACTACAGTAGATATTACAAAAGCTGAGGTTGTTGAAATCCCTGTAACATCAATTATCTATAAGGAGCAGACCGGTTTAAAAACTGATTGTACTCAGAGAATGCTCAGCAAAAGCTAATGCCATCTCGTTTGTCATATAGGTCAGTTATTAGTCGACCCTTATCGTCTTTATTCAGTAAAACATCCAAATATGACACAGATGTGGCAGAATCTGTGTTGCCTTTTAATACAAGTTCATTGGGATATATTGAGTTGACATATGAATGAAAGAAACTATTTTAAGTAGTTAATAAAACGTCGTCGATATTTCTTAATGTCGAGTTGAAGGCCACAGCATGTGTTTTCTTCTTCTTATGTAGATGATTTTGAATAAATTCTGCTTCAAAGGAAAATAAAAACAGTCATCTTATAAAGGAGCACAATTAGTGTCCATCGCATTGCTCAACGACCTAGTCTTCAAAGACGTCAATGAGGAACTACAGCATCTTTTTCATGTACTTGAATGTATACCCAGAATGATTTGTAACAAAGTAATTTTGTTGATGACCAATCGCAAGATATAAAAAGATATGAGTTCCATTAATGTATCGTTAGGAATGGTTGTATAAAAAGTAGAAATGCCATGTTTTTATATTATTGATGTTTGAAAAGTTCTGAGATTTTACATTTTCCAAAACTTCTTTTCATTTTTTTTTTCGAGAATCCACATTTGATTTACACCACTTCCTTGATTTGTTGTAGAACAATAATCTGAAGTTTCCCTTGACAGTAGTTGATAGTTTGGTGAGAAGTGAGCATTCAGACTTCGAAAATTATTTACTGGACCCTCTAATATATCTTTTTTGTAAGGATTTTCATGAACTTTTGGAATCCAGTAAAGGTGCGATAAATCAAACTTACTTCCAATGATTGAAATGATGAACGTTTTGGAAATATCTTTAAAAGCATGCATTTAAAAATTTTGGAAAAAGTCTAAATTTTGTTTCTTGCGCTTAATACGAATTTGAGAGCGATAGAGAGAGTGTGTGATCGATAAAACCACATAACATCCTAAAAGTTTTTTTTTATTAAAGGTGAAAATGTTTAATTACTTCTGATATATTGGGAATTTTTTAAAATGAAAAAGGTGAAGATATCGAGCAGTATTGATCTAAAAAAAAACCCAATCAATACAAATTTGTGTTCGAACCTAGGGATATATGCAAATCTGGCGTAATACATATGGGTATAAGCGACCATCATATAATTTATGCCGTCCGAGGAAAAATAAAGAGTGGCACCAACCGTCATGCTAATATAAAAATCAAATGTGGGATGTATTTAACGCAGAATTTTTCAAAGTTATTGACAAACATTTACCTTTTTAGAGAACGGCGAATAACTGTAAATTCTAAGGAATGGATAACCGATGGAATTTTAAATAAAATGCACAATCGCGATTATCTACACGAAAGAGCACTACGAACCAAATCAGAGGAAGACTGGGATCTTTATAAAGCAAGTAGAAATCGTGTCACTCTCAAAATCAGAGAAGCTAAACGGGACTTTGTGAAAGAAGCAATCGACCAATGTACTAATTGACTAAAAGATATGTGGCCCCGATTAAAACAGTTTTTACCATCAAAGCAGAATTCATCAACATGTACACAATTACAAACTGAGAGTGGTACTTTAATATCTTTTGAATCTATGGCTTACTATTTTAATGATTTCTTCTGTAGTATAGGATATGAAATAGGGAAACAGTTCGATTCTTCTTTACCAGAAGTGGAACAACTTAAACCATCGGGTTCATTTAAAATCCCAGAAATCACGTACATTTATTGCAAATGAAATTAGCAAAATTTCATCTTCAAAAGCTACGGGTATTGATGGTTTGTCTGTAAAACTTTTAAAGTTTTCTTTTGATCAGATAGGTGATATTTTACATTTTATTTTTAATAAATCTATGTCTTCATGTACATTTGTTGATGCCTGGAAAAGAGCCAGAGTAGTTCCATTGCACAAAACGGATGATGGACATCTAGTTAACAATTACAGACCTGTATCTATTTTGCCAGTTATCAAAGACCTAAATATATTTAAAACAAATGCCTTATTTTTATTTTATATGTTTTATTCGAGTTGGCAGGTATTGTCCACAGTGGTCTACACAACAGTGGGGCAGCCGGCAAACTGGCACATCCCCCAACATCAACAATTAAGTTGTGCCCTCCCTGACGGGAAAGGTAGCACGCTGGGTTGACCTCAATCGTGCTACGGACACATTTCAACACAAATTATCTTTAATTATATTAATTATAATTAATTATTTCAATTATATTACATAATTTTGCTATAGATTTACTCTATATGAGATATAATTTTCAAAGTCAACATCACATATATCAACATCAACCATCACACATATCAACATCAACCACAACAAGTCAAGAATATAAATAGTTCAATGGTTAAATTGAAGGTGACGATTTCGCCACATGGGCACCGCAGGTGCCCACCGCCACCTGGTGGGGGTAGGCAACTTCAATTTAACCACCCACCGTGGACCCCTAGCCTACTCAAAACCCTCAGCAGCCCACCCAGTGTGAATACCACTTTCTCATTGTCTCCACTACCCACTGTATCTTCAATACAAGCTGACAAGATTAAATCAATTCTTTATCAGCCATTCCTGCTGTATCTCGATAAAAGATCTGGTTTTCCTACAAATTAAGTGTGCCTAACAACACCCCACCCCCTCCATGGAATCTAGTACAAGTATTTGTTTATTCTGGTTTGGGTCTTTTTATTACCCTGATATTTTAGTAACACCAGGTTATTTCTACTGAGACATGAATAAGAACTAAACTAGAATGGTGTAAGAAAAATATGTAGATAATACCAATCTCTAATCCCCCTTACCCTATTCTTGTATTTTTATTTATCTGTTTATTCATTTATTTGATTATTTAATTTATTTTTTTAAAGTACATGTAATTTGGAAAGTTCTAAACTACTTTCCAGCTGAGATTGCAAACAAGTAATAAACAAGCACAAATCCTCTTTAACCACCCCCCCCCCCCCATGGTAGTTCCTGCATTGTTGACAATGTTGCAATGACAAAATTTTAAGTGTTATTACATTCCCACTTTGTAAATTGCAGAACAGATTAAGGGATACCTATCTCCCTGCTATCTTTATTACCTAATCTGGAAAAACATTTTTGCTCAACAGTAGCTAAAGGTTCTAAAGGAATGAGGTTATACCACTTATTTTTTAAACCAAGCTCTGCCAAAGCCTCTCCATTTAAGTAGGGCTCCGCGTAAAAATCATGCAGGTAGCACAGAAAAGGCGCTACATCGATAATCAGCAAATTCATTAAAACTGAGTTTAATATATTCATTTGGGTCTAAAATGAATGATAACGAATGAATTTGTTATAATTCTTCTTTTTTCATGTAGCTAGGGATAGGGTACTCCAGGGGTAATTTTGTATGGATAGTGTGTAAATAATGCATATTTCAGAAAATAATTTCTTCTAAACCCAAGAAGACGTATAAGATCTAAACACATAATTACAGTGAAAATGGAAAGTGTAAATTAAATTTACTCTAATATTTTTGTGCAAACGGAGGATTGAAAAGATACAGGGTGTTAAAAATCTGGAATTTGTAAAGATTCTTCGTATGAGTTATCTCCCTTAGGAAATTTATATAGGTGGCGGTAGTAAAAAAAATGGCGGCCTCCATGGAAAGCTGTACTCTGCAAAGTTATTTTGATGCATCATGTGGTGTTCATTGCAAATATCCATGTGAATTGAGTAAAAATGATTGAAAGGAATTTACAAGAACAGATTGGACATAGAGCTCGTGTAAATTAAGAGGGAAAAAATCCGTGAAACGAGAAAGTGTAGTTTGGGAATATTACTGTCATCGTGTTGATCAGGGTATCGGCAATTTTCCTTACTACTGACATCAGTATGGTCTATGTCGGAAGTTTAGCTTCTATGGTAATCCACCAGAATCCAAGAGTAAGCCCTCAGAGAGGAGTTGCAGTCCGATTGTGTCAGCTTACTCAACTTGAAGAGGGAAGATAATGTACCGGCGCCACCGGTACATTTGGACAGCTGTTTGAACAGCTTAATAGGTAGGATTTAATTTAAATTCACTTCTTATATATGGTTATTGATTATATTTTATACAGTAAAGCATGTATTGGGAAAATTATTGGGGATGGCCAGTTCCTACATGTATCAATATCATGTCCATTTTGAAAAAAAAAAAAGACATCTTACACATATATAATTAGAATAATGTTACTGTGTCTTGGGACAGGCCCTGACCACAGGGACTTGAGGCAATCTTAGCAAAATCGGGTATACTATATACCCGATTTTGCTAAGACTGTTTTGAGTCCCTATGGCCCTGACCACAGTTAGAATGCCTTCCATATTCCCGCAATGTAGCAGAAAATGGTGGAGACACTCTGAAATGATTTTGGAGAAAATAAATGAAATTGCATTGAAAAATAATCATCAAGTTAATAATAACAAAGTTAACATTTTTTTGTCACAGGGATACCTTTCACCCCCAAAAATTAATCCATATAATGTAAGAGTTCAACACTTTTTGTCAATGTTTTTTTACACAATTCAAATTTACATGCCATGTTGACAGACAGAAATCTCCGAATTGTTCAGAGTAAATGCACTGACCAGAGTTAGAGTTATGACATGATTGCAGTGTTTTTCTTTGAAGTTTGCCATTCTGTATTAGCAATATAGAACAGGACTACAGTCGGCAGAGCTGATTTCCATTCTGTATTAACCCTATATACTGTCTTGTATTAGCCAACTATTCTGTATCTAAAATACAGCACGGTCTAAAAATAAATCTGATTCAATTTATCAAAAGCAAGTACAAATAGTAAATGCTGAGTTTTTTCTTATTACAAAATATGGAGAAATATATTCCTAGTAGGAAATTGAGAAATTTTGATATTTTACATTGCTAGGGATTCCCTAGCAATGTAAAATATCAAAATTTCTCAATTTTTAAAAAATTATTCCACACAGAATCTACATGTTATTTCGATCCAAACAAAAAGGAAAATTCGCAGTTATGGAAATCATCCTATGTTTAATAAATTTCTTAAAACCTCTGGGTTCCCTGCTTTTTTGGGGTCCCCTTCAAAATAGTTAAGCCAAAGGGTTCACGGGTGCAGCATACATTATGTTAACTTCGCACGGTCACCCCCCCCCCCCCCCCCTCTCTCATTTTCTACTCTTCTCACGCAAACTCATTCAAGTCCATTTTTAGCATTTTTTTTTTTAATTTCATCTTAAATCCTTATCGCTGACGACTGCCACACATCTCTTTCTCTTCGTTTTTAATGTCACATTTCAATAAGAAAATAAAAATCCGTGACATCAAAGTTCATTGAAGAACTGTCTGTATCGCCTCATTCGCCTGCATGTGTATCTAGTTAAACTGAGATTTTAAGACCCCTGAAAAAATTAGGATCAGTCTCCATCTACAGCAAGGTTAAATTGTCCACCTTATCAATTAAGACTACATCTACCCCGTTGTCAAAACTAATCTGACTAAATCTAACGTTGTCCGTGGAAATATATATCTACTGCGGAGGCATACTCCCCATCAAGGCCTTATCTACAGAGAGAACAAACATACTCTGGCGGAAGTTTGGATGCTGCACAGCCATAAAGTGGGCGGTGCTTTTTCTTGATTGATCATGTCACAAATCATTTAGAGAACTCGACAGGTTCTGTATCGTAGATACAAATTTGGGGGTGGAGACTAGTGCTATGCACTCGTCCACCCCCAAATTTGTATCTACGATACAGAACCCGTCTCATTCTCTAAATAATACTTATTGCCCGGTTTGTTTTGCTACATAACATTGCTAATACACATTCTATCATTAAACCAGGTCTGTAGGAGAGTATCATCTTAACAATAGAACGTTTTATCATCATATAAGTATGAAACATTGTCTGTGCTCTCATCATTAATCAATACATGTCCCACACAACAACCATTATTGAACGTGGCCAAATTTAAGGGATTCAGTGGGAAGGCCTGGGGCTTCAGACTTTTATTAGATATCAGATTTTTCAGACTTTTATTAGATAACAAATTATAGAGATATTCATACTTCAAGGCTTACTAAACATAAATAAGCTTCACTTGATAAAAACAAAAATAAAAAATGGAACATTTTCAATATCCTGAAAAACTGAAACTTAAAAAAAAATAATAATACAAAATGGCTGAAAAAAAAGTTGGGTTGGGTGCATTTTCAGTGGGTGGGTAGGCAACTGCAAACAAATTAATTTTTATTTTAGGCCCCAGGTTTATGGTAATTCAAATTGAAAAAGAACATGTAAATTTTACTAATTAAAAGAAGTAAATGCTTTATGTTATAGGTTTTGATTTTTTAGCTCACCTGAGCCAAAGGCTCAAGTAAGCTTTTCTGATCACAGTTTTTCCATTGTCTGTTGTCGTTCCAGGTGTCAGTGTCATCTTTGTTTAAAAACTTTTCACATTTTCATCTTTTTCCAGAACTGCACGGCAATTTTCAACCATATTTGCCACAAAGCATCCTTGGATGAAGGAGATTCAATGTTGTTCAAATGAAGAGCCTTGCCCTCTTTCAAGGGGAGATAATTAAAAATTAGTTAAAATTTAATGAATCTTTCAAAAATCTTCCTCTCAAGAGCCACTGGAACAGAAAAGATGAAACTTATGTGAAAGCTTTATTACATAATGAAGTGGGAAGTTTGTTTGGATCATGACCCCAAGGGATATGGATTGGCCGCAATAAGCAATCAAAGTTTTACATACAGAAATATAAATATAAAAACCTTTATCAATCTTTTTCTCATGAAAAAACTGGGCCAAAAGGGTTGAAACTTTTGTGAAAAGTGGCGGTAGCATGGGGCTTTAATGGGTGGTCAAAATTTTACTTTAAAAAAAATGTAGATACTAGGTAACAATCTTTAGAAATCTTCTTCTGAAGAACTAGACATACTGGTAGTATGGGGCCACAATGGGGGATCAAAGTTTCACACTAGATAGTGATAATTCTTCTTTTTAAGAACAGCAAAGCCATGATTAGTCATACAGATACATATATATTGAAGAATCCTCAAGTAGTGTAGATTCAAATCTGTTGAAATCATGAAGCCCTGGGATAGGGTAGGACCACAATGGGGATCAAAGTTTTACATATGAATATATTAAGAAAAATCTGCTGATAAAGATATTGACTCAGGTGAGCATTGTGGCCAATGGGCCTCTTGTTTGCTCTACCCATGTCAACATGGCACTAGTCAGAAATGATAACTAAATAACAAAATCAAGTATGGACAGAAAAAAAAATCAAGCAAGATATAAAAAACCACCAAAAAGTTTGATTTATTTAATAAATATATAATTTTTCAGACAAGGCTGTTTATGCACATTTTTTAACATTACTGATGGTATAATTTGTAAAAGATATAACACTGAAAATTTTATTAGTCTTGTCAAGATATTGCTGACTTACATTTTACTGGCCCAACAACATTTTAAATCAGGCTAGTGTATTTTGGAAAACAGTGTACTGTGCTTTGTAATCACCAGGTAAATTTAATTTAAGGTTGTTAAATAGGTATATTTAGTTGTCTTTATACCTATTCTCTCTCTCTCTTTCTCTCTCTATGTATGTCATATTGCATATAAATCTAGATGAAAAATATTCCTTGTTGTTTTTCAGAATGATCAAGAACTTGTTTGACTGAAGAGATAGAATGAAAAGGGAAGACCCAAAAGTGTTTTATAACAGACACTGTGAGAGTACCGGGTATTTGATTTTGTAGTTTTTAATCAGTAGCAAGATTACAGAATTCATAACTGACATAAATGATAGAAAATATGGTAAAGATATTTTACATATTTCATAAATTAGTAATTTGAATTATATACTTTTTGAAATGAAACCCTATATCATTTTCACAGAATGCGCAAGATGGTTTGCATCATGGTTATGAAGGAAAAGCTGACAGTATTTTTGAGACAGCAAGAAAAACATCATTGCACACCATCAACTAATGACTCCAAAGGTGGGGGACCACATGCCATGCACATGCAACCATTTGAGATTTTACATGAAATTACTGCATTACATAAACTTGAGATTCCATGTCAAGTAATTTATAAATTCAAAAAAACCCTTTAATACCTTTAAATCAATGTAGAACAATGAGTTTTAATGTGGTAAATGATAATTATATGTAACTATTATTTTAGGAATAACAAAGATTAGAGTTCAAAGAATGGATTCAATGCTGGTACTTGGATAAAGATAATCAGGCATGAACTCTCATATCCCATGTATCTTCAGCACCTTTAGGTTACAGTTTTATATTTCACTAGAAGAGACTCATAAATAAACAAAGGACAGTCAGTTACTACAAAAGAGAAGCATCAGAGATTAGTGATATTTTGTTCAGCATTATTGCATCTTACAAAATGTAATCTATTAAAATTTTGTTTACATCTATCAATTAATGATTTTGATACATGTACCAGTAATAAATAATTTTGATGTGGGGTAAACTGATAAAATTGAATGGAAAACAAGCAGATGACTTGGTAATGATGTGTAAAAGACATCATTCATTTAATTAATACATGTAATTGCATGCAGTTAAAATTCAGTCAAAATTCTTGTGGTGTATATTGAAAGGTGTAACCAAGAGGGAAACATAAAATGATTTTCATATTATCATTAAAATAAAAGTCAAGTTGTATATTATACAATTATTTCTGTTTTTGAGGTCATTACAATGGTTTGGCTTGCCTAGGTGTATGCATTTACTGATCCTAAAGAAGGAAGTAAATATTGTCCCTCGATGGTTGTTGGATCAATACACTGTATATTAACCCCCACCCCACCCCCCCCAAAAAAAATAAATAAATGCAATTTCAATTTTTGTATAATACCCTATGTATCATACCCATAGGGTATGGTGTGTATGAAACAAGCGTGACCTTTTGATTTGGCTGTTGGACTTACAAAAAATTTATAGGCTGAAAAAAAAACCTCAAAAATGGGATATGATACTGTTTTTGTAAATATGGATTATCTCCCTTTTCAGCTTAAAATCAGAACATTTTACTGGTCATGAAAATATTTTGATTAAATGAAAAGTAAAATTGTGTTGTATTTCAAATTGGAAAATTGAGAAATTTTTTTGAAATGTCAATTTATTCGTACATGCATACCTGGTATATATTCATGATATGTGTATAGGGCATATATATTGTACTGTGACAAAAAAAGGGAAATTGCTATTTTTTATATGAAACTCGTCAATCGTTTTGGGAAAATAATAATCATTTGCACAAAAATGTTTTAATTATTTTATTTGCTATAGGGTTTGGTGTCTATGAAATAAGCATGACCTTTTGGTTTGGCTGTTGGTTTTTTTTTTAATTTTTTAATAGCTGAAAATCCTCAAAATATTGATATTTTGCTGTTTTTGTCAAAATGGATTATCTCCCCTTTTCAGCTTAAAATTGGAACATCTTACTGGTCATGAAAATATTTAGATTAATTAAGATAGGTAAATAATAGTGTTGTATTTGAGTTTGGAAATGTAAAGAAATTGCGTTGAAATGTCAATTTCCTTTTACATGCATACATATATGGCATATATTGGACTGTGACAAAAAAGGGAAATTGCCATTTTTTGTATGAAACTCGTCAATCATTTTGGGAAAATAATAATCATTTGCACAAAAATGTTTTAATTATTTTATTTTCTATAGGGTATGGTGTCTATGAAACTAGCATGGCCTTTTGGTTTGGCTGTTGGGTTTTTTAATTTTTTGATAGCTGAAAATCCTCAAAAAATTGATATTTTGCTGTTTTTGTCAATATGGATTATCTCCCCTTTTCAGCTTAAAATTAGAACATTTTACTGGACAAGGACATATTTTGATTAATTATGAAAAGTTACTACTTGAGCTGTATTTGAATGAGAAATAAACAAAAATGTGATTTATTGTCTGATTTTCTTTTAATTTCATCTGAAATATTGATATTTTTGCCTATTTTTAGAGGAAATTTCAGCCATATTTTACCGAAAACAGTTTAACTGTTGCCATGGCAACCAGACACAGAATTGATAAAAAATCATTTTATTTTTTGTAGTATCTTAGCATACTCTACCAACATGCAAAGTTTGAAAAAATTCTGAAACCCCCCATGTATCACCCCCTGCATGATTTTTACACGGAGCCATACTTAAAATTGATTAAAACATATACTAATTACCTTCCAACCCAAGAGACACAATGGAGGACTATGAAATGATTCCAAAGTATTTGTAGATGTATATGTACTGCATCAGACATGAAGTACCTATAGGACTAAATTCTATATTCCAGACCCTTGCCCAGCTGATGCTCTCTCAAAATCTGCAACTTGTCACCTTAAACTTTTTACTCCAGGAATACTGAAACTGTAACATAAATTTAGAATGGGTTACCCCCATCCCTCACCCCAAGGCAAAAATATGGTAAAGACTAGGTTGGGGGAAAATTATGGACTTCAAATTTGTTTTAAAGTTGTAAATATGCATAATTATATGAAGGCCAGCATGCAAATTAATTGTCCAAGTATGAGCTAAGGCAGTGGAAACCTATCCTTTATTTAATACTCTTAAATGCTGGAGAAGTTTTGCTAAAATTGAATCTTTAACTCCTTCAGATTTGCATTTGTACCCACCAGCTGATACATGGATGTAAACTATATATGCATTGACGATGCATCTGAATCACCTATGACATTAATATATAAACATAAAGTACATGTATGCTAACTGCTCAGTTAAGGGGTGTACACCAATGAAATATATGTAATTCATTGCAACTGGGTTTGAACTAACATTTTTCAATGGAGAAATGCCCATTAGATATAGGCATGATATGTGTCAGCAGTTTTTGTAGAATTGCTGTCTTTAACAAACCAGTAGCCTCATTTCTGAGAATAGCATACAAAACATTGCAGCAAATGGATCCGATTCTATTCAATTCAGGTCTGTGGAACAATATATGTCTAACACCCCCCCCCTTTCAACCCCAAGAATTTGCATCTGATAGATAGCAGATTAATGGTAAATTTTGCCTTATGATTAGTTTTTTTTATGTTTTATATTTCATGAAGAATAAAACCAGTTTCCCAAACATATTACCTTTTGTGAGTTTAAGAACCGTGAATTAAAATATGAACTAAAGCAATTTTTTCCTGAGTTAAATTACAAATCTTTTTTATTTTCCCACTTATAGAGACACAACAGAAACCATCAATGACCAAAAATTAGGCCCCAATTTAACATGATATTTTATCATAGCCTTTTTTTCCTAACTGCTTGACCATTGTCGATTGATCAATGCTCCTTCCCAACCAAAATACAAAAATATATCCACAGCCTGTCCCGATATGCCTGCATGACTGTAACAATTTAAGAACCCTATAATTTATTCATTTGTCAAAAATAAGTTACCTGAGTAAAATAGTAAAAGGTCAGGAAATTTAAGTTGCATAATCATATTTTAAGGTTCACTAACCCTCTGATAAGACAGGTAACTCAATGGATTAAAAGCGCATATTCCTAATAATCTTGTCAAGTTAAAATGTCTTTTGTGACAATTTTATCCTGAAGCTATGCTAAAATTATCATTTTGCCTATTTAAACAATCAATTAATTTATTTATTTTTATTTATTTACTTAGACTTGTATTTATATTTGAACCTAAAAGGTCCTTGTATGCCTAAAAATATTGAACAAGACCAGAAGCTTTTATTACATTGAAAGAAAACTCCCATGATGAAGTTAGTCCCAATATGTAAAATCAAACACTTTCCCAAACCTAAACGAGAAATATTCTATATAATGTGATAATAATGTAAGTTTATTTGAGTTTTTGAGGTTAACTTGAGAAGGTACAGAACTTTTACTTAACACAACTCTATAAATTTATGTATCATACCCAAGGGGCCTTAGGGGGCAGGAGAGAGAGGACAATAAACGTGTTATCATTAAACCTTCACTCAATTAAAGTACAGGCTCTATTAGAGAAGTTCATGGATACAGCTTTGAAAATGACCAAATTGCCCGAACCACCTTGATTTCCTTTATAATCTTAACTGAACCAATGAGTGCTGCAGACAGAATATATATATCTGAAACGTGTCTTTGACCCCATCTTAATTAATCTGAACCCATTTGATATCCTGACAAGCAAAATAGTAGCTAGCCTTGATAGAATTTTAGTTAATATTAAAAATATGGGGAATCCTTTCTACCCTAACTGGTGAACAATTGCGTTTTTAAATTGCGATGCCATTCTTTTATTGGTCTCGTGGAGGCCAAAATATTTCCTCCTTGTCAAGCCCTATAAGAGAAGCGATATCCTGATAGGTGAGGATGCTGCTGGCTCAAATTTGACTGTAATGTGGATTTGGCGGACAATATACAATTCGACTTAGGGTGCTCATGCCCCCATTTTAAATAGCCTGAATTGCTCATTGTAATGCTTCCATCCAACTGGAAAAGAGCCAGAGTAGTTCCATTGCACAAAGCTGATGATGGACATCTAGTTAATAGATACAGACCTGTATCTATTTTGCCAGTTATTAGCAAAATTATTCAATCTTATCTCTCAAATCGTTAGCAACGTGTCAGTTGGCGAGATGTGTTGTCTCGAGTAAAAGATATATCTTCAGGTGTCCCTCAAGGGTCAATTTTAGGACCGTTATTTTTTATTCTATATATCAACGACTATTCGAAGTGTCTTAAACACTCTTCGGTTACAATGTATGCAGATGTCACCTCACAGGACGTAAATGATAAATGTATAGATGTTGTAGAGAAAAAACTTCAAGAAGACCTCGAGTTAGGCATTGAATGGATGAACAAAAATAAACTTAGCAAAAATCTCTAAAAAAAAAAAAACAAAAAAAAAAAACAAAACAAAGCAAAAAAAAAAAAAAAAAAAAAACGCAGTGTATGCTTATTGGCACATCTAAAAGGTTGCAGAAGTGTAGAAATCTTAACATAAATTTTAGTGGTGTGCAGATTGAATTTGTGAAACAGGCAAAATTACTTGGTGTTTATATTGATAGTTCCTTATCTTGGGATGCTCATGTCGATTTTATTCCAAAGAAAATTTTAAGGAAACTTGCTGTACTAAAGAGAGTGAGTTCTTTTATGCCACAAAATGCATTACCGGTCACACCTGCCATAAGCCCTATGTATTGATCAGGTAGACGGAACATTCCGTAGACAAATTCAGTATAAAAACAAAGGCCTAACAATTGATATGAAGCAAGTCAGCCAAAATACGACCCAGTGATAGGTAATATATGCTAACAAGGTCATTATAATGACCATAGAATTTACGAAATGCTGACTTTAAATGAGGTTGTTAAAATCCCTATAACGTCAACTTATCTGTCAGTAGCCTGCCTCGGTTTAAAAATTGATCTTTCTCGGAGCATTCCCTTGAGTATCGAATAAGGTGGGAGATGTAAACACCATATGCAGTTGATAGCGGAATCATACTACATCAATAAGGAAAGTTGACGATGGAAAAAGCTGTTGTCATCTCGTTAATCATACAATTTTGTTGTTAATTTGCCCTTATCGTCTCTAGTCAGTTAAACATCCAGATATGAAACAGATGTGGCAGACTCTGTGGTATCTTTAAATTTCACTGGGATATATCGAGTCGACATATGAATGAAAGTGACTATTGCTTATTGATCATATGTCGTCGATATATCTAAATGTCGAGTTGAAGGTCACGGCAAGTGTTTTCTTCTTCTCATTTAGAAGTTTTTGAATAAATTCTGCATCGTAGGAATATAAAAACAAGTCGGCTATTAAAGAGCACAATTAGTGCCAATCGCAATTCCAACAGTTTGTTTGAAGATTTGGTCTCCGAAGACTACATAAATGTTTTCAAAGAGGAGCTCCAGCATCTTGTTAATAACTTCAAAGTACTTGTGTGTAGAATCAGAGTGATTTTAACAAAGTAATTTTGTTGATGACAATCACAAGATACGAAAAATTCCCACTTCCATTTTTACCAAAGACGCAGTTGTCCATGATATCAAATACGTTGTTTTATCGTGAGGAATAGTTGTATAAAGTGTTAAAAAAGTCGTATATATTGATGTAACTGACTTTTGAAAAAAAAAATGGCGATTTTATATTTTATAAAAACTGTTCTTTGGCGTTTTTGAGAATCCACATTTGATTTACACCACTACTAGAGTATGCCGTAGCACGTCTAAACTTTCTCCTTTACAGCAGTTATTATAAGGAAATAGTTTTAAAACACTTCACACCTAAGCACAATTAGAATATTCAAAATTTTCAAAGAGGCATAAGAGTAAAGAAATTTATTTGAACGTTGCTGGAACATGAGTTATGTCTCCTTTCTTAAGTGATTTTTTTTGTCTTGCTATGTGTAAAGATTTGTTATTCTTATAAAAATAAATATAAAAGATATATAAAAACAAGAATTTTAACTCTAGAACATTTTCAATTTACAGAGATGATGGTTGCACGATATAGACAAAACCCTTGTTATTTTAAGCAGTTGAAAACATACATCAAGTAATATGAAAAGAAGAGTACAGTCATGTATATTCCATATGAATACTGAATTAAATATTTTGTTATCCTTTTGAGAAAGATATCAATACATATTCGAAAAAAATCACAAAAATATCTATGTACTCTTTTAGACATACAGTTGACTAATTTCTTTTCTATGAAAAATATATAATGTGTATAGCATACGAATATATATCATGCATTTTGTCACAACATATCGGTATACAGGTGCTAAATAAATGAAAATTACATTTGTTTATGTCTGTCTCCAACTAGAAAAAAGACTTGAATGTGATTTATTTTCCATGTAAGAATATTGAAAAATGTACGGATGAAAATAAAGACATAGAAAGATACCAAAATAAAAATAATACCTTCATGTTTAAATCGATAACAACTGCAAACCACACAGTATAGTACATGAGGGTGTAAAAAAAAAATATCATAACATAACAAAAAATAAATATATACAAAAAATACATGTACGTTCAAATTTACCTACTGTCAAAATGCACAAGTCTAGCTACTTATAGTTCTATGGCAAAAATGTAACTGTTCCCAAAAAAAAAAAAAAAAAAAAAAAAAAAAAAAATGTGGAAAAAAAGAAAGTAACTGTTGGTTAGATAGAGAAAAATTAAATTGAGGTTAAAGATACCAGGCAAAACAATAATTTCTTTTAAACATATTAGGTGACTTATGCATTTTAGAATATTTCATGAACAGTTGTAAAGCTTATTCTATAATTTTAGTTTGCATTGCGACTGTAATATATCTTACCGGGCTAAGCTCTTTTCTATGGATAGACTTTGATAAACGAAATCAATTTCGATTTCTTCAAAGCTTTACCCGCGCCAGAGGTTGCATTAAATTTAGATATCTTTTAAAATTTAGGAAATTCAAAATACGTTACATAAGATATACTGTAGATTCCTAAATATACACCAAGAATAAATTATCGCCTAATTACGCGAGAAGCACCACTCGCGAAATAAAATTATTTTCTTTTATTTTTATTGTGCTTTAATGTATGTAAAATCTCTAGATAAATCACCCATTCGCGAATTATTGTTCTCGCGATTTGACGACCTTGGGCCATTTCGCGATATTAAGTACTCGTGTAAAATAAGGAATCTACAGTATTCAAAAATCACTTTCATTACTTATTTGTTGGTTGGATTTCTCTTAGTTTGAGAAAATTTTATTGAAAGTTACACAAACATTGATTAGATTTAAGCAATTGCAAATCCTTTTGTGTTGTTTTTTGTTTTTGTTTTTGTTTATTTTTGTTGTTGTTATTAATTCAAATTTCTGAAACATCGCTTTATAGTATGATTTTTGTTTGTGAATATCGACTGTTTTGAAATAATGTGCAATATAAATTTACGATGATGTTTGCATTTTTTGCTCTTCGTCTTATATTGTAGTTTTACATCTGTCTTCAATTTTCAGACATGTGCTTATTTTGCGTTTCTAATGAGGACCTTTTGCATAAATAGCTTCTGATTTGAATTATAATTAATATTTAACGTTGATTTAAAATCTATTTATACATACATTAATAAATCATATCAAGTATTTAAAAGATGCTTTCAAATCTTTTTTAGAATTAAAAAAAAAAAAAGAAAGAAACGTTCCAAGAATATACGAACATTTTGTGCTTGATTGCACTCTCACGAATAACATATTAAAGTAAAACCAAACACTACAAACATTCGTAAATTATATGAATGTAAAATAGATCATTCTATGCTTTTGATATGTTGATGACGTTACAAAATCAATGCATAAAAAAATGTCCATCATGAAAATGCAAAAATCAATACCGTTATTTTGGGGAAAAAAAATCTAGCAATACATCTATAAACTTCAATTTAAGTAAAATCAAAAACCCTTCTCATGTTCATTTTTTCTGATGAAACTTTTTTTGTTTTATCTCGGAACCACATACACTAGTTACTGTCAAGGGTGATTAATTAAAAATAGAAAACAGTAATCAGACAGTACATGATTTGTCCTGATTGTATTTTATTCATTAACTTATGAATTGATTCTCAGGTGAATGTCATTTGCATAAATATGAAATTCTGTACATCATTTCCTGTGTAGTTTAATGGCGACTCTATTTTAGCACTAGTGTGAGAACATAACGTAAGGAGGTAAGCCAATCTTAATGTAGTATCAATAATATAATTTTGTATTCTAAATCAGTAACCAATATATATATATATATATATATATATTTTAAATTATCATGCGAAAAAGGATATGATTTTGAAAGTGAAAATAGATAGATCTTATGTGCTTTTTTAATTGTAAACAAATCACGTATTTTCAAATGTTGAAAGCTAAATTTAGATAATGTATCCAAGTTTTATCATTATTTCTGTTTTTCAAAGTTATATGAGGATTTTTTTATTTGCAGATGAACACATACACAATACTGAGTCTTTTCATCGCTGTGATTTCACTAGCTTTTGTTCAAGGTGAGTTCCGTGAAAAATAACATAGGTACTTTAACATATTTGAAGGAAAATTGATACTTATAATTTGAATAATATTTTGTTTTCCTGAAATGTTTGGATTTTGATACAAACAATGATATTTTGGCAATTAAATGAATACTGTATAAAGTTCATTTCCATTTTTTCTAACCCTTCATGTCGGACGAGTGTTGGAAGCACTTCAGTAGGCGAGACTTTACGGAAATTGAGTGATATATGAAATGTAAATGAGTTAAGTTTAGATGACGTATAGTTTAACATAAATGTAGACGTTTAATAAATCACTAGCAATGATATAATTGCAGAGAAACAGAATGTCTAAGTAATTAAACAATAGCCTCATCTAATTTCATGTTGCATATTCTATATATAAATACACACTGAAACGTCAGCGATTCTTAATTTACTGTTTTATCTTTTTATACATGATGAATTGTAGTATCTTTTATTTTTTCATTTCAAAGAAATACAAAAGAAATAAAAATAGTCAATCCTTGCAGCAAATTGATGAAAGTAAACACATGAAAAATAAAACAAAGGAATTTACAGATTATAGAAAATACAACACGATCACCAATAACATTTTTTAATGACAAGCATATAAAAAATGATAATTCATTTTGTTATAAAAATGTTTTGTATATAAATCTTTACTAAAAAAATCTAACATTTCCAATATTTTCTGAGCGGTCAAAAAAATCAATGTTGGATCGCTGAGCGAGATATATTGGACCTGTCGATGAGATATTGGACGCTTCGACTTTTTTAACGTCACACTAGAGGCGGGATCAGCTATATCAAACATGGAAGCCAGCGCAAGATAATATCTTAAGATACATGTATGTCAAAATGAAATTGATCGATTGATTGGTTATATGTTGTTTTACGTCCCTTTCGAGAATTTTTCACTCATATAGAGACGTCACCATATACCGGTGAAGGGCTTCAAATTTAGACTTTTACTCAGCACTCAGGGCCATTGAACAGTGAGGATTCTTTATCGTGCCAACGCCTACCGTGACATGGGGCCTCGGTTTTTAAGGTCTCATCCGAAGGACCCGCAACTTTCACTTTAAAGTGCCGAGCGCTTGGTGAAAGAACAGTTGCTAGATATTTTTCATAGACTTAGGTCAGTCGTAGCCGTGATTCGAACACACGACCATCCGATCATGGAGCGAGCGCTCTACCGACTGAGGAACCGTGACGGCGTCAAAATAAAAAAGTAAAATATATATCAAAACAATTATTGAGTGGGTTCGAGGGCAAAATGAGTTTTGTCGACCCCTCGAACCAAACCGTTTGCCTTTGACCTAACGGCCTCAGGCAAATAGTTTGGTTCTTGGGTCCGACAAAAGTTAGGTCAAAGGCAAACGGTTTGGTTCGAGGGGTCGACAAAACGCATTTTGCCCTCGAACCCACTCAATAAATGTATAATATCCATTCTCTGAATTTACTGTATTGTTGAATCATCATTTTAATATCATTTTTATGAACGTTTGAATTTCAAGTCAAAAGTGGAAGAATTTTTAAAAATGTTTAACAGGACAGCACTTCAAGCGGTTCTGTGTCTACAATGGTTTTGCGATAGCACGTGATGGAGCTCATGGATTACAACCGGAAGACATCGACCCCTTTATGTGTACCCATATCGTCTTCTCCTTCGCTGAAATCGACGAGACGGGAATCCGGCTAAAAGACCCTGATCACTTTGAAGAAAATTATTTGTATGTTGCCTCTTTATTCATGCAAGATAAAATTATACGTGACTTTGTTTTATATGATATTGGTTTGATTGAAACATTTCCCCTACAGACAACAAGGTTCTTTCTTCAAAATCTTTATAATATTTTGTCAAAATGGCTAAATATATCATTTCCCAACAATGTGCTAAAAAATGGTCTAGTAGTTTATGAAATATCTAAGAGTGTGTTTTTCTGGGACAACCCTCTTATATTGCAAATAAACTTACATACATAGATACATAAGTTCCATTTCTATTTTTTCTAATTCTAAATGGACTTCTGTTTGCTTTTCTCAGATACCAAAGAATAATTCGTCTGAGAAAGTTGAATCATCGTCTCAACATGATTTTGTCTGTTGGGGGTTGGGACAAAGGGGGAGAAGGATTTTCGAGACTCGTTTCTTCTCGAGAAAACATGCTAAAGTTTACCAAGTGGGTTATTATATATCTAAGACGCTTTGACTTTGATGGTCTCGATTTCGATTGGCAGTTCCCAGCACTGAGAGAAAGTAATCTGCAGGACAAGAAAAGATTCGCTGATCTCTGTGATGTAAGTAGCATTAAATAGCACAACCTCATCGCGAAGTCTTCTGAAGAACAAAAGCAGAAAACAATAGACACAAAACTAATACTGTAACACTAGTAATGCAGCAAAATTTTTAAATATTTCTTTTTAGGTGATTGCCCTTGAATTTGATATCGAGGAAATCCCAGACATTAAGTGGAAACTGACATTTACCCTGACATTTCATCCTCTGTTACCAGTGATGCATTTCGGTTATGATATACCCCGTTTGTCAAGGTAAACCAAATAACAAACAATCCATGTTTCCAGATTTCTTATCAAAAGACCTTTATCATTTTGTTTAACATCATCCAAACCCTATAACATTACGTTTAACTGTTATTTCAAAGCGAAAATATATCTGAGCTATTCATCTTCTTAGTTTAAAGTCGGAATTGATTTCAAATTATCTTCTAGGTTTTGCTCAGAAGTAATGCATATTAAATTTTTCTTTAAGTAAGGCCCACTACATCAATTTAAAAATGTATGATCTCTACGGTCACTGGGATGACCCAATGTTGGCAAGACATCACAGCGCACTGGTAGGACCTAAAGGTTTCAATAATGTTGTGAGTATCTGTTTACAATTGATATGCTGTTTATTGCGTTTCTAAACTCTGCTTTTGGAGATAAACAAGTTTTAAAACTTCTACACAATCCCTTTGAGTAGAATCTGCTCTTAACTTAGTATATTTATGATATAAATGTGAGAAAATCAACAATTCTGTTGTAGGATTAAGTGTTCATAAACAATAATGGGTTTACTTCGTAACAGTGTACTCATAAAAGTATAAAAATTCACATTTTTTCTAAAAACATGAAAGTATTCATTTACTTTGTGAATTATTTTTGAAAGGTTTAATAAGTCATGAATATATACATATAGTAAATACATTGTAAATGTAACAGCATTTCGTTTTGTCTGAAAAGAAAATTGAAACTTCGATATTTTCGAAAAATTAGACTTGATATTTTTTTTACACGATATACATTTATATTAAAGGAAGATTTGGTGGCTTTGTGGGAGCAAAAAGGGGTTCCAGCCCACAAGATGATTGTGGGGATTCCATTCTTTGGTCGATCATATCGCTTGGAAAACACCGCTATGTCGATGCCTGGAGCTCCTGTCATTGGGCCTGGATCCGACAATGGAGACGGAATACCAATCAAACATGTAATTCTATCTCTCTCTTTCTCTCTATTTTACCTTTTTCTTTTCGATATACATGTATAAATATTTGAGACAGTTATCAATTAGATAGTTCATTTATTTCTTTCTTTAAACTTTGCAGCTCTGCCATCTTATAAGGAGTGGATTGAATGAAAGTTTCATTCCTTCTCAACAAGTGCCTTACCTTGTTCAAGGCGATGAATGGATAGGCTACGATAATCAAAGAAGCGTTATGAATAAGGTAAATATGATTTAAATCTTTGGGATATGATCCACAATTTGGTTTTAACTAATCTTCTTTTGTCATTGTTTAACGTTTTATTATAGGCAGCCTTTGTCTTCGACAAAGCTTTGGCTGGCGTTTTGCTCTACTCTCTGGATATGGATGATCATTCAGGGGCTTGTGGTGCAGGGAAGTTTCCACTGACAATGTCTGTCATCAACGGACTACAGGCATACATGTTGTATGTGCAGCGTAAAAACATGGCCATTGGAGAGATCTACCGAACCAAAATCAATAGCGCTCGTGTGTCTAGGCGAGCATACTTAATGGCGGGAAAAAAGCACATGGTGGAGAAAATGGATGCCAAAATTATCAGTCTCCAAAAAGAGCAAGAAGTCGCTATGGGCAAGATGACGGCTCAAGTGGCTAGTGTTCAGGCCATGATGAATAAACCATTTGAACTTCCTCCTGTCAATAAGAGATCATTTACATGGTAGATGACAGATATTTTCAAATAATTTATTCTCCATGTAATATAAAATGTTTTTTATTGTGAATTCTTATCACAATTTGTTTTGGTCGATAGAGTATTGTAATATTTCTCTGATGACGGTACCTGTTGTACGACAGGTCAAATTGCTGACAATCAGCTGTCTCTCTCAAACATCTAATTTCAATAATATTCGGCATAAATGAGCAATACTTGGGATTAGAAAAACTATAAACAGTTCTGTCATTTGATGTTGTCAATACTTATATGTGTATTTTTCATTGGTGTTACTTTTTTCGAGGATAAGGATACAATTTGAAGATTAAAGAATGTCTACAAAATTATTAAATTTTATCGTATTTAGGTTCATCAAATATCCTCATCAAATGTTCAGTTATGGGGGTACATGTATGTGGCACTACTTTGAATGTGGATACATTCGCTGTGACATTCTGAGTAGACATGCTTCTTCTTGATCAGATGTGTTGCATGTCCAGATAAAACCAATCGGACAGCTCTCGGCCCAAAAGGAGCTATGTACTGTCTGAAACTTTTTCTGAAACTGTCTGACCATCATTTGCTCATTACATCTACTGTTCCGAACAAAAATCGAAAATTTTGCATAATTTGTTTATTAAATAAAACTGGTAATTGATGTAAGGAGACTGTCCTCTATAAAAATTTAGAATATTTCAATTTAAATTTGTATATGACAATTGTCATACATGTATACACATTTAAAATAAAAAGTTCTTAATTTTTGTAGAGGACAAGACAATAGAAGTTAAATATGTAAATATATAGATCGGTTGCTTTATCACGTATGCACATATGCTGATAGATTATTATATTAGATTTTGTCGTTCCGATTTTACTTATTTAGATGAGTTCTTCATATAGACATGTACGGAAGCCCATTTAGGACCTATCAAAAATATTTTTGAATTCAATCTAACGAATTGTCCAATTTCTTAAAACAAATTTAATGCGTTATAACAGTTTTTTTTAATTCGTTATATAGCAAATTTAATCTATTTTAAAGAATTCAAAAAATTTTTTAGGACCAATCAAAAAAAAAATTGAATTCGCTATAATCTATAACAATCGTCAAATTTGTTTTACGAAATTAATTCGTTATATCATTTTCTTTTTAATTCGTTAAAACGAATTTAATCTGATTTAACAATTTTTTTAATTCGTTTTAGCGAATTAAAAAAATTGTTATAACGAATTAAGCTCATTTTAAAGAATTCAAAAAATTGTAATAACAAATTATATTCATTAAAAGGAATTCTTAAATTTGCTATTACGAGTTAAATTTGTTTAAACGAATTTTACAATTTGTTATATCGAATTCATAGATATTTATCTATAGACCCTAATTGTCGAATTTAATCTAACGAATTAAATTCGAAATAACAAATTTTAGAATTTGTTTTAACAAATCTTGTTCGCTATAACAAATTTTAAAATCCGTTTAAATGAATTTAATGTGTTATAAAAAAAATTTTGAATTCGTTATAACGAATTCAACCAATCTGTAATAAGAAATTTAATTTGTTATAGCGAATTCAAAAAAAATGTTCTAACGAATTAAATTCGTCATAGCAAATTCAACAATTCGTAATATCGAATTCAAAAAATTTTTTCATAGGTCTTAAAGGGCTTCCGTATTGTAACATATTAAATTCGTTATATTGAGTTCAAAAATCTATCTATCAAATTAAATTTTCAACTAATTCTACAATTCGTTATATCAGATTGGAGAGAGATTAATAAATCCGCAAAAAAGAGTTGAACTATTGAAATAGTAAGTTCTGAAATTAGTCAATTCAAATTTAATTCTATGTATAAAATTTTAAATCTGTTAAAATGAATTCAACATTTGTTCTAACAGATTAAATTCGATATAATTATAATCCGTTATATCGAATTCTAAGATATTTTTGATAGGTCCTGACTGGTCTTTTGTGGTTTTGATCTTTAATTACAACTTATGTATTATTGGTGAATCATGTTGGCTAAAGTTTCCAATCGTTGCAGGTTCATGTAAGTTTTTGAAAGATGTCACTGCTTGTTCACAATTGCATATAAAAAAAATATCACAGGTTTCGAAATAAATCGATCTCTTGGCCTTAAACAAAGCTACATGGGGAGAAAAAAACGGCGTCACAACAAAAATTAAACCTTGTCTACGATAGATACCCTACATTGAAAATATAATATCATGTTTCTTTGCATAATTTGCGTAGAAAATATTTATTTTTCATTGCGGGTAACTGATGGAAGTAAAAAGAGTTTCGTCTCAAATAATTTTTCATTACTTTATATTCGTCAAAAATTTTCGGTTGGCAGCTCCTCATACCAACTAACAGGTAAGACTTTTGCAGTCAATAATACTTTTTAGACGAGAAAATGATGGATTGTCCATACACACTCCCTATATCGTGAACCAATTTGTACATTGTCTTTTTTAGTAAAGAAAGTACATAAGATTTGAAATATCAAAAATGTTTCCTTGCCATGTTAATTTTAACTATAAAGTGTCAGTTTATAACGAATATTTTATGAATTACTAGAATTCGGTCCTAAGTCTAATACTGCTTCGCAAATCAGGCCTCAGGATCATGAAACAGTCAAATTTTCAATCATTTGTGGAGATTTATTCATGGCCAGATTAATTTCTTAATTTGTAGATGGAAGCAGATCAGTGAAACAATATAAATAAATAATAATTGAATAGAGATTTATTCATGGCCTGATTAATTTCTTAATTTGTAGATGGAAGTAGATCAGTGATACAATAGAAATAAATAATAATTGAATTTCGGATTTTTCGACTTCCACATCATTTCAGCACTATGTACAATTTTTTACTTAAGGGTGACCTTTACATCGATGGCAAAAAATTCCATTGATGAGGATGAAAAACTAACTATTGTGTATAGTAGACCTATAAATGTAGTGTTTTTTTTTCATTTTAAAATATATAGGTTAATGAACTATTTTTCATGCTTATGGCCTCTGGGAACTTCTCGGAGTAAATTTTAAAAAAAACCTTAAAAATTTCACTATTTCCAAAATTTTCTTTCTTTAAGTTAGCAAAATCTAACAAGTAATTGAACTCTTTGGATGATAAAATGTAATGACAATAATGATAGTTTTGCTTGAGCAATGAATTTATTAAAAAATATGCCAGTCCGAATTTTCTCTGATAATTTTCTAGCTAAATACTACCATATCGAATAACACAAAAAAACTGAATTACGAGATATCTGAACTATTAAGAGCTTCAGTAAACTTATTGCTTCCAAACTTTTTAATTTCAAGAAAACTTTACAGAGCCTAGGTATCGAACATCTGAAACATAATCCTCCATCGTGTCCTTGTTCTTCTTCACCCTACAACTATAGTCCTGCTGGACACGTTATTACTGGTGACGTAAATATAGTTGATAATGAGATCCTTAAATCACTTATTTTAAAAGGGCCAAAATTGAGGGAACCCCGAACTTTCAACTGGCGTCATAATAAATATTGTGAACTATGTGGAAGATTACGCCAGGCGATGGGCCAGACATGAAAAAGAAGACTTTGACACATTGTCAGAATGGATTAAGTGTATCAGATGTATGTTAAAATCTTGCATTAAGCGATTGAGGGGCAATAAAACCATCTATCCTTCTGTGTTCAATAATTCCGAAGTGGAAACAGAATTAGATAGATTACCCGATCAGTATGTACTGGTCACAGCTGACAAAGCAGGTAACATTGTTTTTAAGGCTAATTATTTGATTTGTATTTTAGAGGAACTGGGATTTAATTCAACAAGTGGTAATCCAACTTATACCAATAGCTCCCTTTCTAAGGAGGAAATTCTTCAAAATCATATGTCAGTTTTAAATATTTTTAATATTCCCAACAAACAAAATGAATCTGAATTACCATATCTATATTGGATTCCGAAACTTCATAAAAATCCTACAAACAAAGATACGGGTTCCAGTAAATGTTCCACCAAGCCTCTTTCTTTACTCCTCACTAAAATATTAACAGCAGTGAAAGAGAAACGTCAAGAGTACTGTGCAACAATATATATTCGAGAAGTGGTGTATATCAGATGTTGATTCTTTAAAATTCCAGGGAACTTTTGGAAAATTTGAAATCAAAAATTTTTACCAAAATCAATAACACAAAACTTACGACTTTTCAACTCTATATACAATCATTCCCCGCGATAAATTAAAGTCCAGACTTTTTGACATCATTGACAGCTGCTTTTTCAATAAAAATGGAATTTGTAAATTTACTTACCCTGTCATTGGTCATTTGCAAAATTATTTTGTTAAAAAATATTCTGATTGTACACATAAGTACTCTGAAGTTGATATTAAAAATATGCTTGAGTTGCTGATTGACGTTTTTCATACTAATTGTTATGCCATTATTTACTCACTGAATTGTCTATGGATTTTTCCGTTATTTCCCGATCATGACAAGGAGCACACCGTGGGTGTGACCGGTCGGCATGGGATGCTCACTCCTCCACGACACGTGATCCCACCTCTGATGTTTGCTCTGCTTCTGAATTGTATTGTTTAAATGGACTTTGGAGCTTGAATACTGTTCGTTATCTCGCTATATTCTAGTATTTTAATATACTGCCCATATTCTGCTGATATCAAAATTATTAAAGGTCAATGATCTATGAAATATGTGTCTGGAATGGCTTTTGTTTAAATCCTTTTTTTCATTGCATTCCCTTCAGTTATTTGAAATAATACACTAGTTTAACAGAAATAATGATTGCAAAATGATACTGTAAAAAACCATTTGAAACCCACTTATTATGATTACATCATTAGAAAAAAAATTAATAAAAAAAAAGGAAAGTCATAATTTTCTCTGCATAACTTTTACATTCGCATATTTTAGTCAAATACTGTAAAATCATATATTTTCGAGGTGTCAAATTTTCGAGGTTTGAGGAGGAAATATTGTTTCAATGGGATTTAATTTCGGGTTTAAAGAAGTTCGGCGTTGTTACACATTTAAAATCTTACAATTCGTGGAGGACTTGAATTCGTGGGTCATACCACGAAAACAACGAATATTCAACCCCCTATTCCACAGTAGTAAAACATTCATTTTTGATATATTCATAACTTGGCTATTTTGTTCATCCAGAATTCTTTTCTTAACACTTCATAGTAATCTAATTCTGTCAGCTAAAACCCTGAGTATGCGTCTTCCTAAAACTGAAGATGTGTCACAATATTGGTGCCTGAGCTTGTTATTCCAATATATCACAGAAATAATCAACAGATACTTACTTGGAAATCACAGCAATGCAATGTCGGCCATTTGTGGTCAATGTTTATGTTTTGTATTATTGTTTCGAAAAAATTCAAGTATCCAAATATTCTCAGTTGCTTAGTTCCTCTGTAAATCATATCTCTTAACATTAAGAAACGACAAAACACCAGAAGATTTGATAAATACTTTTTAATGTATTTTCATGTAAAATATGTTTTTTAAGTAAGAAATATCTTTGTTAATCATACAGCAATGAGAGCCGACAAACTCAAATTATTGACTGGTTATGTAGTTCTGCAAATAACTTGAAAATCTATGCAAATTGTAGATTTTATTATATAGCTTCTTATTGAACAAAATCCTTAACAAGAATAAAGTCTCAATGATTATGGAGAGGTTCTGAAGCTCATTAAATTACAGAAACAGACAGGAACAAATTACCATATTTGTCCTGACTCGGATCATTAAAATCTTGTCTAATGCGCCTTTCTCTCTTCATCACACGTTCTTCCCTGTATTTTTCATGTAAATGTGAAAAAATGATTAATTATGACAGACAAATGTTAAAAATTTTGTTGAAAATTTAAACCAGTTAAAAGTGAAGGAGAAAGATGATGGTCAACTAAACAGGTGCAGATATTTGATTCTGGATATGTGTAAATTTGGATAATTGGTTTTTCTTTCCATTGTGTTAAAGAGTTTAATTGCAAAGATGAACATCGCGGCTTTTGTGGTTTTATTTCCTGTATTTTCGTGTGTATGTGGGGGTAAGTTTTCGTCTAGGAAATCAGTCCATTATCACAGAAATTCACTTTTAATGTCTTCCTTATCATATCATAAATTTCTTCCGTTTACTCTAAATATTTCAGTCAATTCTCAAAATTCAAAATAATTCTGAGTAATGTTATGATAATTTTACCTTCAATGATGTATATTAATTTTTAATAAACACAGTTCTAGACACCTTATCTCATTTCCTCTTTTAGCATACTTGCCACCATCCTATTGCCAAAATATAGTGTATATTTATCTGTATTTACTGTGCTCAGATATTGAATTTTTTTGGAGAGAAAGAGAGAGAGAGAGAACTTCAGTAAAAAACAATTCATTCACCTGAAATATTCTGCTGTCTAGAATGTGCGGTGTTTCCTCATAGGAATGCATAAGAATAACCTTACATATACGTAGAATTTTAGATGAATAATGGTTTCTTGAGAACATTTTAATGCCATTAGTGTGAAACAAAACGACATCCTTTCTTGTGACATGTTGATTAAAATATTTGCCAAATAAACTTTCATTAAAATTTCTAGAAATAGTTCAAGTACACTTTTAACAAAATTTAAAAGATGCATTTTTTTCGAAATCATTTCAAACTCTGCCTGTGTGACTATCATTACAAAAATAGTGCATAAGATGATGATACATAGAATGCATTAAATATGTCATGAATCAGTTTGAATATCGTGTAAATGCTTCTTCTCTCTCTTTTTTCTGCTTTCTTCTGATAAATTGAATATATGCACTTGGAGCGTGACTATCCATTAATGAACTTTCAAAAAACGATAGAATAAATAAGAGAATAGTTCATACTTCTATTTAACATATTTATAGGCATTCTGTGTCTAAAATGACTGCAAAATTTGTGTAATGACAAGAACATACATTGTAAAAGCTGAATAAATTTTCATAAAAATGAAAAGTGTACGAAATTAAATATGTGTACATATACATACGCAAAGTGATAATAAATCCAGCTCATGAAAAAGTAATTTTATTTCTAAATATTATTTCCAACTTAACTTGACAGACATAGAAAAATGAAGGCAATTTTTTTTCAAGCATCACCATTTTTCATGAACAGATATTATCATTAACACAACACAGCGTTACTTTATTCTTACGTAAAAAAAATATTATTCATGGTACAACGTCTTAAACATTTAATTTTAACATTTACCTTTGTACTTTGCAGAATTTATAAAGATGTGTTACTACAGCGCCTGGGCTGTGTACAGAGACGGTCCTCAAGCGCTGGCACCGGAAGACATTGACGCTCATCACTGTACTCACCTAGTCCTGGCTTACGCTACAATAGACGATACAGGAAAACACGTGAAATTTCCTAACACCTTTGAGAACATGCATTTGTAAGAAACACATAAATAAATACCATACATGATCAGTATATGATAATCTTTCAAGAAGTTAACGCACATTAATTTGTATACTTACTAAATTATAGCTATTTTTAACAGAGCAAAGTTAATCAAATATATTACACTGAATCTACATGTTTATATATATATATATATATATATATATATATATATATATATATATATATATATATATATATATATATATATATATATATATATAATTTAGTCCTGAGCGAATGAACGAATTGCGTGACCACAACGAGGACTTGAACATGGTTTTGTCAGTGGGTGGTTGGATGATGGACAGTGAAGCCTGGACAAATGTGGTTAAAACCAAGGACACAATGGACGCCTTCGTCACAGAGGCCATAAGTTTCCTCCGCTTCCATGATTTTGATGGGATAGATTTAGACTGGCAATACCCCTCATTCAGAGGTAGCAGTGCGCATGATCGAGAAAAACTGGTTGAATTCTGCGAGGTGGTTATAAAATTGAAAAGATAACATAGTACTAAGATAATTTAGATAAGCAAATGTAAGAAGATGTGTAGTACATATTACATTAGTGAAAGGAAAGATGCTTTAAATCAACATAAGAAAATCGTAGATACAGTTACTCGGTATACACAATGAAAAACAATTATATATGGTACCATTACGAAAATTATAATGACTAATTATGAGTACAATTAAGGAAAACAGAATATTGTATATTTTGCATGTGTCGAGCATACTCCCAACATTATTCTTAACCTGAAATACCTTTTGACCCTTGACTTCCTTCAGCGTTTTAGACATGGGATCGAGACAGAATCGGAACCTGATAGTAAATGGCACCTGTCGTTCTCGCTGTCTGTTGACCCCACTGCTTTCCGTGTGATGCACTCCTACGACCTGAAAAAGTTATCAAAGTAAGTCCAACAGCACTCCCGAACCTCCGATAGCCGATAGGGGTCGTGTACTTAATTTGTAAGAGACGTGCATTTGATTTGTAGACCATGTTGTCAAACTGATAACAAATTATGGAACTTTTGTGATCCCCTTCTAAAGCATGCACACCAATAAAATACTAGTAGTTCTACATAATAATACATGCATATTTGGAAAGAGTCGTAAAATTATACTAAGATTTCTTGGAAAAATAATATCAAAGTAATAAAATAGTTGTTTGATTGCAATTTACCAAATCATGCCTCTGTATATATACTCTTCCACTTATTTCTGTCACATTTCATGGGGTAGAATATGAAATTCTATTCTCATTCATGTAGAGTTAATTATATTAATATAAATTAATATATATATTCTTACTTCTTCTATAGGGAAGTAGATTTCTTTAACTTGAAGACCTATGACCTCCATGGTCACTGGAGTGAACCCCTGACAGCAGACCATCACAGTCCCCTTATTGGTGGAGAAAATCCCAATCAAGAACCAAAATATAGCGTTGTATGTCTGTGTTACGTCTTCTTAAAATAAGCATATTGGCTTTGAAAAAAATCATATCATGGGCATTTGTCAAACCATACAGAAATAGTGCTATCATTATTGTAGTACAATACAGTTTATTTGAAAATAAGAAAATCTTAACACAGTCATTCATTTTTTCAAGTGAATCAGGTGTGATAAAATGCTTATTTTAAACCTTATTTAAAATACATATAAAAATAGTAATATCTATAGATGGATATTGTCTACTATTTGGTTTATATCGTTACGTCATGATTTTTAAGATTTTTTCCTAAAGAATTAACGCATTTGTTTTGCACACAGGTACTTGTTGACAGGAACCCCCCCCCCCCCCCGAATATACCCCACAGGTCAAAAAGTATTTTTATGTATTTTTTTTCATAAATTATTCTTCTAGTACACATTTACAATGTATTACATTAAAAAAATTCAAAAAATAACGCAGAATTAACGTTTTACTAAAAAACCATACCAGCGGTATATATAAAATAGAGAAGGTAAGTCTCTTCCATTTGTTTACACTTGACCCCTCTTGGATATCAGGCCCGAAATATCATTTACCTAATACATATCACCAAAATGTGTCATGATATCTTGTTTCGATAGATATTTTTGTCTTTAATCGTGCTATTTAATTGCCCAGGCATTCCATAATAATCCGAGTATTCATCGTCAAACGTGAAAAATGCTACAAGATTTGGAAATGTCAAAGTAGAAATTACGGAAGTGATGCAAAAACGACACCTGGCGTGTAACTCTCGAGTTCCGAGTGTTATAGAACTAAGGGAAAAGTTAGAGGTCTGCGAAAAAGTTCGAGAAAATTTTGATAAAGAAGTCGAAATTGATTCATTAGAATTAAATTCTGCTTAAGATTTTCGAGATGAGCGAGGGTAGTCGTCAATATTCCCTTTAAAGGATGTTATCACTGATACCAAATAGCGGTTTAAAAATCGCGTCAACATTAATTTATAATCTTGACATGTATCCCCCCCCCCTCCCATTCCACCTCGGCCGCCTTCCCCTTCTGCGTGGACATGGAATTTTCATTAAATTGTGTCTGCGGAAAGGTGGATATCCGTTTAATTAATGTGGTAGTAAATATAATATTTAGAATGATAAACTAGTTTTAAAAATAAGCAAAGACAGAAATGTGATTATTTAATAAAGTGTACAAAAAATCTTTTTTTTCCCCATTTGTTATGAATTCACTACATGTATAATCAATATTGATTAATTTGGGGACGGGGGCTGTGCACGTCATTACAAGTTACAGTGTTGGAGAAAAACAATTGACCGGTTGATGAATGGTTGTACAACCCATGCAATATTTAAACGTCAAAATCTACGTAATACAAGTTGCAATTATCTAACCAAGACTGTTAGATAAGACGTACCTAAAGAACTTTTTTAAAAGTCTTTATTTTATAAAAGTTAAGCTTCCGTTTGTTCAATTAAAATAACAGCAGCTTGATATATATGTAATCAAGACCAGAAATAAACTCAGCAGTGCGACGCGAAAGTAAAGAAGAGCATGAAAATTATTTTTAAAAAATGGGGTTCTGATTTTCATTCTTAAGAATTAATATTGAAAAGACTCACACTAAATTCCTTGGCAAATGATAATCATCGCATAAGAATATTAAAAAAATACACATAATTATTAAACTTAATATTATCGGAATTAATTGCAAGCATGTCCATGTAGAAGGGGAAGGGGGGGGGGTTACATGTCTTGTAAGTTGTAAATAAATGTTTAAGCGATCTTTAAACAGCTATTTGGTATTAGTGATAACATCCTTTAAAGGGAATATTGACGACTACCCTCGCTCATCTCGAAAATCTTAAGCAGAATTTAATTCTAATGAATCAATTTCGACTTCTTTATCAAAATTTTCTCGAACTTTTTCGCAGACCTCTAACTTTTCCCTTAGTTCTATAACACTCGGAACTCGAGAGTTACAGGCTAGGTGTCGTTTTTGCATCACTTCCGTAATTTCTACTTTGACATTTCCAAATCTTGTAGCATTTTTCACGTTTGACGATGAATACTCGGATTATTATGGAATGCCTGGGCAATTAAATAGCACGATTTAAGACAAAAATATCTACAGAAACAAGATATCATGACACATTTTGGTGATATGTATTAGGTAAATGATATTTCGGGCCTGATATCCAAGAGGGGTCAAGTGTAAACAAATGGAAGTGACTTACCTTCTCTATTTTATATATACCGCTGGTATGATTTTTTAGTAAAACGTTAATTCTGCGTTATTTTTTGAATTTTTTTAATGTAATACATTGTAAATGTGAACTAGAAGAATAATTTATGAAAAAAAATACATAAAAATACTTTTTGACCTGTGGGGTATATTCGGGGGGGGGGGGGGGGGGTTCCTGTCCACAAGTACCTGTGGTTTTGCAAAGTAACATAGAATTTACAAAGACACTCTCGACAAAGCTAGCTTCAATAAGCAACATCTTGTACACACTTGTTTTTATTCAGAATGATTTAGCCAAGGAATGGGTTATGTCGGGGGTACCTCCTAACCAGATAGTGATAGGCCTGTCTTACTACGGTCGCTCCTTCAGACTGCAGAATACTAACTACACGATGCCGGGGGCACCTGCCATAGGCCCCGGGTCTGACGGAGGGGAAGGAATTCCTGTTAATAAAGTAAGTACTGAAACTTAAGCAAAGCATAATTCTAATTTAGCCATAGAATGGATGCTGTCATGTAAATTTTGAATTTACCGGGTGCAGTAAATACATTTTCAATTGTCATGTTGTAAATTTTGTATTTACTGCAACCCGGTAAATTCAAAATCTACTGTTTTGTAGATTTGTCACTTAATACGTAATGGGGTGCAGGAGAGATATATCCCAGAGAAGCGGGTCCCATATTACGTCATTGAAGACGAGTGGGTGGGGTTTGACAATCCAAGAAGCATCAGAGAAAAGGTAATTTTTTTCCCTTGCGTTGTGTAAAGTTATGCCTCAAAGGCGAGGCTCTCTTACGAATGAAGTTTTTAAATTTTTGTAATAAAAAATAAAACAACTTAACTGGGTTGATTGTTTCCAGGCCCAACTTGTTGCTAAGAACCACCTGGGTGGAGTAGCCATGTGGACAATGGATCAAGATGACCATAGTGGTGCATGTGGCGACAAATGGCCGCTAACGTTTGCCGTCATCCACGGACTTGGTCCGCGAGAATATGTTGACTATGTTTCTGCAAAGCATGGTTCTTTAGTAGGTTTACTAAATAAGAAACTACAACATGCTAACAGAGAACTGGCTTTTTATCAGGAGGCGTTTGATTACAAAAATGCACAGAAGAAGGAGAGGGAGGTAGCCCGTTATACAAAACAATTAGCGGAAATGCAAGCGCAACAGTCCAAGTTCTGGGCTCAAGTACAAGCGACAGCTACACGAGGTGGCAGTCCAATGCCTCCGGTTGATAAACCGTCATGGACAATGTGATTTTGTGATATGCTTTGTTTTTATAATGTGTAGTAAATGGATTATGAATACAAGTTTTGTTGTTTATAAAAGCCAAGACATCAAAATAAATAAATAAATAAATAAATAAATAAATAAATAAATGTACGGTTTTCAAAAGTTGCCAAGGATAGATGACGGGTGATAGGAATCTACCTTTGTCGTTTTTAAACGCGTGCCTCCAAAAATAAACATTTTCTATAAAGAGTACTAAAATTATTTAATTAAGAAATTCTAATTATTGATGTATAATAATCAGAAGCAAATGATATACAGATATTAATTTTTACATAAGAGACAATATCACACTGTACATGTACTTACATAAACGTGGCAAACTTTCTGGATACATCTCGCTATGTGATAAAATTTCCTTAAAAGTTTTTCCTGATGATAATTATGAAGATAATAGATATATAATGATAAAAAAGGTAAACGGTACAAAGTAATTGTGACGTGAATTATGCAAATTAAAAGATGTGATGAAAAATATGAGTGATGTTATTTTAGTTTTAAAGAAGCTTCAAATAGCCTTATGACATCGAAAATTAATTATCAAAAATAACGTCATGCGACAGGTCGCGGAATATATACAATCCATTAAACCAGTGTTCCGTGATTTGTAGAAAAGAATCCGTTTGTGGTAATGCTTACCAGTAATGTCAGAATTTCACACTTCACTTGTTTTTGCCCTGATGTGATTTATTAATAAATTCAAATCAGGCATCATAAGTATGAATAATACAGTCAGCGTTTGACGATAGAAGAAAATGGCGTCCAGATTTCTGTAATATGTTTGACTTTTAAAGGATCGTACATAAGTATACAAAATTTCACTCTGTAAGTAATGTTATACATCACTTTTCTCTGATTTAATATAACCGTTAATGTGAAATACATTCCCTTAAAATGGAACATTAAGATTTTTATCATTATAGATAAATCTATTTCATAAACATTTCGTAGTCAAAGCTAAAAAATAACGAAATACTTTATTGTCTGTGTGTTGACTTGTTTTAGATTCTAGAACCATGATCCGCGCCTGTCTTCTTGTCATTTTGTTTGCTCTGACAGAAATCCATGGAGGTTTGTTACTTCCTGTTATTGTTTATCACTTGCAACACTACAGCAATTAAAAGAATATATCTCTGTTTATGAATTACATGTATATGAAATTGAATTCTTCCTGCCATTTGTCAAATTAAAGATATTCTTGATAATTTCTGGCTTCAATACCATAAACTGAGAACGGATGTTAGTCAAAATTTAAATTTTGAATATCTTAATTTTAATTTAACAGATGCAAGTTCGTTAAATATTCAAATACAAACATTCAGTGAAATTCGCTTTATTTTCTTGATTATTTGAAAAGTTATACAGATTAGAAATTTTGACTTAAGTCTATTCTCAGTTTATGGTCTTGGAGCCTGTTTTTAAACAAACACAGAACCTATAAGACAAGTCGAACATGAAGCGAGGGTGCATTTGGGTAATTTTAATATAACAAAGAAAGAAGAGAATTCACGAAAAGAGTATACCACACTAAAGACACTGTATATGACAATTTCTTTGATACTAGTATTACTATGATGATCATCGAAGAGAATATGGATTCACACAAAAACAATATAAACCAGGCAGGTTGTGGTGGCTGTCGATTTTTATATATAAACCCTTCCAATTTGTTTTCATTACAAACTATATATTTCACAAAAAACTATATATTTCACAAAAAAAAAAAGTCCAACTATTTTAAAAGCTAGAGCATAAATAATGAGGTTAACATCGTTATAATTAAAATGCTCATTAAGTTGTGTCATCCTCTGTCAGATGTAAATGGAAAAGATTTAATGTATAATTACATAATGTCTGTAATATTATTTTTAGAATAATAAAATGCTAAAACGACGCCAAAGAGAAAAGAGCCATACATCATAAACTAAATGTATCATATTTAGCGTGTACGATATTTAGCAAAAATTGATTTTATAACAAGTTGGGTTAGTTTTGATTTAGCGTTTTCTGAATGTGCTAGATATAATTATATACTACACAAGACATTTAGCGATATATTGATTAAGCGAAAGGCGCTGTAGCAACCGCTAATGATAAATTGCCGCTTAATGAGAGAAATATCTTTAAGCGTTGCAATGCAACGCTTAATGTCAACAAGTAATAGCTTTTCAAAAAGCTTGCCTGACTAGTCAATCAATATCTATGGAACGTATAAGCAAGAGAGATGCCAAACGTTTCCGTCATCAAGAAGCGACATAGTTGCGATTCTTCATTACACAAGATGTACAATTGACTTTCTCAAATCTCAAACCAAATACTGCAGATTAACGAATATCTAAGACATGCCACTATTCAATCATTTATTAGTTAGCCCACAGGCTGACAAGTTACGTTGGGATGAAACTCTAACTTTAAGTGCGATAGCGTAGATTATAATTTTTGGGAAAATAGTTAGATGATTCTAAAGAAATTCATATTACATGTACTCTCTTACTAGAGGGCGCACTTCTTTGGTCAGTGATAGATTGATGAGACGGCCTCTTTTTATAGACTGGTCTGTTTTCCGTCGTTCTCGACGTCGAAGTAAATTATGAACAGTTTTAACTGCCTTTTCTTGAAATGTTTGAGACAAAAATGCTTCAATGCTGCTCTAGAACTCAAAGAAAATGGACTGTACACTTTATAGCTAGAGCAAAACAAGATACTAATAGCACCCCCTCCCCCCCCCCCCCCCGCACGAAACTCACGCGCGCGCTGATGGTCTTACCATATACATATACATGTATTATAAATGAGTTTAAAAATACATCTTTATGTGCAGTTTTAAAATTGTTTAGTTTTTCTTTTCAATCGATTTCAGGACCTTTCTCATAATTATAATAACATGCTTTTATATGAAATGAAAACTAGTATAGATCATGATGTCTTCTTCGTTTTGCTGATTCTTTGCTTAGAACCTTACGGGAGTTAAGCCCATTCCTCTATGGGTACTGACCTACTATTGTCACGATCCTTGTTCATCACAAAGCATGAAATAATATGCTACTGGCTGACTTTCTAAGCTTTTTTAAAAACCTAACCTTGTAACGTACATTATTGATAAATGTAATATTGAAAGTAAAGGTGGGAAACAGACTAGCTGAATCAAGAAGGGATGTCCCATTTACTAGGTCGAGGGAGTTTGCTTATGATGCGACTAGTTCACTTATGGGATAAATAGTAAGAATAATCAGCAAATCCATTGCTTTAGTGTTGCCTGCCCATATACAATGTGTTCTTTTAAAAATGAGATAAAATTTACTGTTAATAAAAAATCCGAAGCTTAAGAATCAGGTTAAAAGAATAAACGTTATTTACTTCCATAGAAGTTATCACACCCATTCAACAGAACAATCCAAGAAAAAGGCGCGAAGATAATTTACATGTGACATTTGGCGCGAAATGATATTGTCACCCCTTTTGTAGAAGGCAAATGGACTGATCCAGTAGTTTAGAAACGCAGAAAAAATGTTACACGGACATGCCCGTACAAAGAATCGCAAAGAATAAACATGTGCATGCCAAAAAACTGAAGGAATTAAACATATCATTATTTTGCATCAGTAATACGATTATTTCTTCAGCAAACTGTATTTGTTTAAATGCAGGTAACAAATTCCAGTGTAAATCAGCTTCCAGAAAATCTAGTTCATTAAGAATGGTCGCTTAGTTTCGGATCTTGAAAAAATTAATCCTTATACTGCCTGACGCACGTGGCGTCAGGCAATAAATTATTGCATTAATAGTTGACATTCGCAACCGCTTAATGATATTATTCTTTCATTAAGCGGAGAATTAGCATTATCGGTTGAGAATGTCAACTATTAATGCAATAATTTATGACACTGAGCGTTGCATTGCAACGCTTAATGATATTTCTTTCATTAAGCGGCATTTTATCATTAGCGGTTGCTACAAGGCGCTAAATAGAATACACCGCCTAATGCACAGTGAACCATTAACCATGAAGAAAAAAGTTATAACAGTTCCAACAATCGGCATTTGTAGAATAAATGAAATGTATGTTTAGTGCTTTTTCCGTGGTGTAAAATTTCAGAAAATCATTGGTGGGTCCAACGCTGAGACCTGCAAATTGACATAAAGAAAGGAAATATCTGGGGGTTTTGTTTGTTTGTTTGGTTTTTTTGTTTTTTTTTTGTTTATTTGTTTGTTTGGTTGGTTTTTTTATTGAATATAAGGAATATGTCATGAGAATCGTGAGATATATCGCTAAGGATTTTTATCTAACAACATAAAGTACATCAGTAAAATTGATCAGATAGAAATGTATCTTGAATCATTAAGTTAATCTTGAGACAGTAAAAACCAATCTCTTAACAGTAACATATATCCATAAACAATAAATTAAATAATATGCAACACATAACAGTTAAAAGTACATAGTCAGGATAGAGATATGCTCTCTCTCTCTCTCTCTCTCTCTCTCTCTCTCTATATATATATATATATATATCACAGAAATAAGTATCCAAGGTAATTATTGAAATTTTAGCTACCTATGTAGATTTTTTTTTCTTTTTTCAGAATTCATTAAGATGTGTTACTACAGCGCCTGGGCTCTATACAGAGACGGCGACCAGGCGCTGAAACCAGAGGATGTGGACGCCTTCCACTGCACTCATCTCGCCTTAGCCTACGGCACTATCGACGATAGCGGCAAAAGAATTAAGTTCCCAGATTTGTTTGAAGATATGCACTTGTATGTACCATTACTCTTTTTAATAGTAAAAAAGTATCCAACGCAGTCCACATTATCTACTTTTTGCTGCAGAAGCAAAATTTAAATTATAATCATTTAATTAGATGTATTGCACTACAATTTATTTCTTTATTTATTTTTGCATCGAAACAGTAACAATATTTTTTCCAGGCCTGAAAGAATGAACACGTTACGTGACCATAACGAGGACCTGAACATGGTTCTGTCCGTGGGGGGCTGGACAATGGACAGTGAGGCGTGGTCTAATATGCTCAAGTCTAAAGAAAACATGGAGGAGTTTGCGAGGGAGGCCACTATATTCCTCAGGTTCCACGACTTTGACGGGATCGACTTAGACTGGCAGTATCCAGCTTTTAGAAAGAGCTCGGCGGAAGACAGGGAACGATTTGCCGACTTTATGGAGGTGAGATTTAGGACTAGACATTGTGGATACAGTTGTATCAACAAAGATGCGAGAAAATTTGTTAGAATGATTATACATTCTTGAAGTTAAAATAATAAAGTTTAACATCCTAATGATACTAAGAACCTCAAACATTTCCCAAAAAGAAGCAGAAAACGCATTATGTTAGTCATCAGTATTGTAAATACCTGCAGAAATATTGAATGCATGTCTAGAACTGTAGATAGTTACATATAGATAAATTTCAGTAACACATTCATTTATAAACCCTTAAAAGTAACGACTCGTTCAGACCGTAGCATAGAAATCTAAATGTCATCTTATTTTATTTAAAAAGATTCCATATCACAGAAAAATATAGTTCCAGTTGTAACCTTTTAAGATGATGAAGCACACAAAGTATGTCTAACTTTCATATAACTTAGTGTTAATATAACAGACATTATTTTCGTTACAGATAATGCGTCACGCCATAGAGACAGAACATGAACCTGATAGTAAATGGTCATTGTCCCTTTCTCTTTCCGTGGACCCTAGCGCCTACAGGGTCATCAACTCATATAACCTTAAAAGACTGGCCAGGTTAGTAAACGCAGTAAGTCTTTCGTTTAAGAAAAATTCTCAACTCATATCAATCAAAACGCAAGTAATTAATTTATATGACCTCAAATTGGGAATTTACTCAAAAGGTCTTATTATCCATACAAGGTTACATTCTTAACGAGCTAAGACGAATATCAGGGCAAAAAGGGAGCATTACCTCAAGCAACTTCTAAAGTTTGCTTAAAAGGTTATCAGCTCATCGCAGGTCCGTAGAGAAATCAGAGGGGGTCCCCCTTTTTTCTGATGGCGCCCCCCCCCCAATTTTTTCTGGGTATAGTATTCTGCTAAAGTAAATTTTAATTTAGATGCTGGTTGCCCCCCCCCCCCCATCCTTGTTGCTGTAAGGTCGAGCAGTGGCAAATTTCAGGTTTTGGACACTTAATAAGTTTTTTTTTTGTTTTTTTGTTTTGTTTGCTTGTCATATAATTAAGGGACCCCCCCCCCCCCGCCATTTTTTGAAAAGTATATTACTTTATTTTTTTTTAAATTTTTTTTATTTTTTTTTTGCTTGTTAAATTTTTTGGGAAGGATGCCGCCCCTTTCCTACTTTTGAAACCGTCGCTACAGGTCTGCATGGGGCTTAAGGACATACGCAACGTACCTTACCTACTGATAATTTTTCAAGATATTCTTAATTTAAGATTATAATGTCATCAGATGTTCGTACACAAAAATTCAGCATGCATTACCAGGGGTTTTGAAAAGATATCATTTGATGAAAATTATTGTATAATTCAAAGAAAAAATATACAAAAAATACTAAACATATATTCTGAATGTTTTGTTTATCCAAACTTGTTTTAGAAGAAGTGTACAGCAGCATATATAGACATTAAAATGTAGCACACAGTTCCTTTAAGTATTGGAACTCTTCAACTCCAGGGAAAAAGACAATAAAGTTCAAACTACGTTGCGTATGTCCTTAAAAGTAGGCATCATTTGATACTACGATTCTAACAGTATGGCAATATTGTGTCAATCCGTTTTACAAACATTTCCGTCTTTGTCAAGAAGCTGACCAGATATGTACCAACAATTAGACCCCGATGAACTCCAGAAGACCTGGGAGCAATACTTACGCAGAATGGCAACACTCAAACATCCAAAATTGATAACTTACATGATTAAAACGTTATTATGACTTTCTGCAAAAAAATTGTAGATAGCATTATAAATTCTGCAAATTCTGGAAAGGTTAGTTATAAAACTTCAGCCAGAAAGGTTGTAAAAGGGTACTTTTAAGGGTACTCAGTAGTTGTTGAATGGAAGAGCATATTATCCTCTTATGTGGTCTGAAAAATCGGGCAAGACAGGTTAATTATATATATTCAGAAGCCTCAAAGACCCCCAATTCTACGAGGGATCGAATTTGTCTGTGGTTGAATTTTGAGAAAAAAAAATGTTTTATTTGTATGCACCATTTGCATAACCATTGACTTGAATATATATGGTATCAACATGACTGATTTAATTGTTTATATTTAAAAAAAAAAACAAATCCAGGGATTTAAAATAAATATAAAAAGATTTTCATAATTTTTAAACGTTCTGTAAAACTAGGATGAAGTCATAGTAAGGTCAAGGGTTATACTTCATTGTACTTTTCAGAGAGGTGGATTTCTTTAACCTGAAGACTTATGATCTCCATGGACATTGGGATGAACCTCTGGCCGCCGTCCACCATAGTCCACTATCTCACGCTGAAAGCCCTATCAATGTGGTACGTAGTCGTTTGAATTCCAATTCCAATTCCAAACGTGCATAAATGTACCTACTAGACTTTTCAAAGGATACATGAACATACCTAAAATAGGTCTTACACAGTGAACATAAAAAATCCATTGCATTATGATTCATTATCTAGATTCTCTTTTACTATATTGTATCTTTCGTTATACGTATTGATATGGATGTGTTGTGTTTCTAATCTATCTGCATATTTGTAGAACACTTTGGCTAGGAGTTGGGCAGAAGCAGGGGTCCCAAAAAACATGTTGGTTTTAGGTATTCCTTATTATGGTCGATCGTACAAACTCCAAAACCCTAACATTACCATGCCAGGGGCACCTGCTATAGGACCAGGCTCTGACGGAGGGGAGGGAATACCCGTTAACAAGGTGACCATCATCAAGTAATCAGTATATTCTGTAAAGTTATCCACGTAGTTAAATCAAAGTGATTTTTAACGTTATATTTTACGATGCCATTTTTGTATAGATATGCCATATTATCAGAAGTGGCGTCCAAGAACAATACATACCAGAACAAAAAGTACCCTACTATGTAATGGGGGATGAATGGGTTGGGTTTGATAATCCGAGAAGTGTACGGGAAAAGGTAGGAAAGAAATTTTACTAATCTATATTGATCGTACCATTTAAGATTTTAAGGAAATGGTAGTGACAACCAACCTTGATTCAAAATCGAGTTTCACGTCCGTTTCTGCTTACATCTATGAGTTAAATTGCAGGCGATGTTGGTTGCTTCAAATCATCTTGGTGGAGTTGCATTATGGACACTAGATCAAGATGACCATCGAGGTGTCTGTGGTGAAAAATGGCCAATTACTTTTGAAGTAATTCACGGTCTCGGGCGCGCGGAATATGTGGATTATGTAGCAGCCAAACAAGAGTCACTCCGCACCCTTATCAATCATAAGATCTCCCATACTGCCAAAGAAATAGGTTACTACTCTGATACTCATAATCACACAATGGCTGCCAAGAAAGAAGCAGAACTGACACAGCTTTCGAATGAATTAGCCATTCTTCAAGATCAGCAACAAAAGCAGTGGAGGCAAGTACAAGCTGCAGCAACATTAGGCGGGAAGCCAATCCCACCTCTAGATAAACCATCATGGACAATATGATATTTATTATTGTGAACTACTTTTTTTATTTGTGATAAATTGTCGTTCTTTGTTATAAGGCAAATATAATTTTGTCCTTTGTATGATGTTATAACCATACAGAATGATTTATTTTTGTGCCGATAACAATTCTTTGACAAATGTGTTCAGACAGTTTCTCAAAATCAATAAGAAAATACAGATGTCATTGCTTTACGGAATACAGATCATAATCAGCCATTTTAGAGATTGCATCAGACAATATTGATTATACATTTTACCTCTGTTTAACAAAACTGTCTTCTGTACATGATCATGCTGCAACTAAAGATGAAATAAAATATTGATCCATAACATTCTCAGGATGTCATGTTACCTTAAGTACAAGGTGCGTTGGGTGCAATCGGACCCTCCTTTAAAAGCAAATACTCAAAAATATAATATTTAAAACAAAATTAATTCATAACTTATCTGTTACAAGAAGAATTGCTACATTTTGTTTAATAAATATTTGAAAAAATGATCAGAACCCACGAAATTGTGCCCATTCATAAAAAATTTTCTGGCTCAGGGGTGGGAGAACCCCCTACCAGACCTACCTCCATACCCCTTCCCCCTTTCTAAAAACCTGATGACGGCCCCGAAGTATCTGGCGAGATTCTTGATTTTAGGTTTCAAAACAAAGTAAAACAAGGATAATCTCATCATCCTTCAATTCCAGAACAAAATCATAACCTTCATAATATGATTACATCTAATTTTTTAAATAAGAATAATGTCAAATTTTGAGAAGCAGGCATCTTCATGATGTTATTTTTACTGTATAATGCTTACTTCTCCTTCAATAAGAGACCATAGATAATGCGTCGTGAAAGTGCTAGAGCTCCCTTGAAAATTTTGATATTGACGGTGCTATCAGTATGTGGTGTGTCTAGACATTGATTAATTCAACATTTTATCTCCAAGGCAAATAATTGTATTTTCTGTCCAGTGTTTGTAACTGAAACTACTTTTAAAGGAGTTTGTCACATGGGCTTCATGCACTCGGCACACCTCGGCCGATTCGTACCTCATCAAACCTCGGCTGTATCATGTAAACCTCCATTGAGCCGGAGCTACTTTATACGCAATATGGCTGCGCCCTACATTTACACGTGCACAGTGTGCTGAATTCGATCCGTTAACAAACATGTGATTATGTAAAGATACTAAGTGCATTTTTCTTGGTAAGTGTTATTCTTAGTGTAACCTGTATGCTTTTGAAAATTTTCATCGTATATCAGATGCATGTTTATTATCCTTTTCAAAGCGTTACGTTTTCCCTAAGCGGTAAACAGGCAGCCTGATCACAAATGTTAAGCGGAGACGCATATCAAGTTTCCTCGTACAGCCGAGGTTTGGTGAAGGTGACGGAATCAGCCGAGGTTTGCCGAATGGGGCTTCATGTGGAGTTTATGACTTTTATCAAAGATCACGAGCCATATGCCTTTGTATGGTTAATAAGAACTTCCCTCTAGTCCAAATCCTGGAATGAGCTGATACGTTATTGAGCAGTTGTTTGTCATCTGAAGTAATATCTGATGATTATAATGAGGGTTAATTTCAGTTGCTGTTCTGAAGTTTTAGCTTTTCTCTCTTTCTTTCTCTTTGAAAACAAGATTGTTGTTTGTAGTTTTACGTCCTTTGCATGATTATACCAGACATGTGAGAATTGAGAAGATGAAGAACTTCAAATCTAGACCTTTAACTTGAAATTCAGGGTCATTGATCAGTGAGGGTTCTTTAGCGTGCGAACGCTTGTAGTGATACGGGAATCCGCGGTTTTAAGGTCTCACTTTTAAGACCCGCAATTAACTTGAAATTCAATTTGCCGAGTTGCTTGGCAAAGAAACGGGTGCTACCTTGATTTTTTTTTTTCATCGACTTTGGTTTGTCGCCTCCACGGCCCAGGAATAGATCTAGATCTGAAGTCATAACTTCAATGTAACGCCGTAGCTGTGATGTGTTTCATGATCAGATGGTGTCTTTTCATTATACAGGTATTCTGTTGTTCTTTCATGTTCAGATGACCTCTAAGGGTAGGATAGTGAACACAACATAGATATTTATTTGTCTTAATCTAGACTTCTAGCTAGATACATGACCTTTTCGGACCAACTCTGAACTAGCATACCACGTTCAGGCCCGTAATAACGGTTTCAAAAGTGGGAGGGGCAACCTTCCCCAAAAATGACAAGCAATAAAATACTGTCCAGATCCCGGAATTTGACAGTGCCTCCCCCCCCCCCCCCGCCGAATCCCCACCCCGTGTTCTCTACGGACCTTACGTTTCCCAATAATGCAAATTCTGCTAACGTGTGTTTAGGCATACTAAAAGAATGTCCGCTTTGCTTAATTTTTTTTTTTTTCAATATTTTTTGATATTTTTTTTTCGTTAGCGTGCGAATAACAATTTATTTGGATCTACAACTAGCTGTCATAGTCATTTAATAGCATAAAGTTTGCTTTCAGTGTAATCAATTTCTTCACATATTTATGTTTCATTATATGCTGGGTAACCTACCTGCGATCATTTTTCACTCATTTGGAAAGAACACCAGTTTCAGGTATAGTGTCATTCTGGATCTTTGCTATGGACCAACTTCATTGCAGATGGGTTCTTCATCGACCATTGCCTACAAGTACCTCGATACTGATCCTGCAGTTCTCAAAATCCAAGACTATTATCATCTAGTCTATTTCTACGTCGGAGTATAGACCTACTGACGACCTACCCAATTAGAGGCCATTTTTTTCATAAAAGGATGTTATATGAACTGAGAAAAAAATCTAACTTTAATTGGTCCTATCGGTATAGTCAAAAGTACTCTTACTTATCAGAATTTGTTGACTTCACTGCAGGTAAAATTACGTAATAAATCAACAGTTCGACGATAGGTACGTTAAAACAAGTTCCTGTACTAGATTTATCTTCAGATTGTTGCAAATAATCGTTATCAGAACAATCACTTTGGCATACTTGTTAAGACGTTATTCCTCTATATTACATAAAAGGTAACCATTGCTTAATTCTTAAGTAGCGTTTACATGTATTCTGACTTCGTAAAATTAATTGATATTTAAGTAATATTTTATTTTGTTGATAGATGATCAAATTATTGGTTATTCTGGTGGTGTTAACAGAAATCTGTGGAACTGGTAGGATTGGTTTAAAATCTTAAAGAAAATCATGTATGAATTACTAGAGTAGTATTTGGTCGATTTCAGGGGTAGACCAAGTTTGGGTTCTCTCTCGCGAAAACTCGTCAGTAGTTAATGATTCTGGAAATTACATCATAATAGCAAAACATCAGTGTGAAGCAAAATAATGTACTATTCAGATGACATATATCATTCAAATTTCAATGAGTTTTAAAATCATTTAAGTTTATCACAAGAGCAAGAATTTATAAAAATCGTGAAGACAAAGGCAACCTGAGAGACAACAAATAAGTCATGAAATAAATATCTTGTATGTTTTTTGATAAAATTGCTAAAGTGGGTAGCCTTGAAGGAAAGTAGCTTGCTTTACAGCAAGTATATTATAATACAGCTTCTGCCTACCGGCGGGTCTGCTACTATACCAACTGGTCACAGTACAGAAACAGTATTGGAAAATTTTATCCTGAAAATGTGGATCCAAATTTATGCACCCATATCGTCTACGCCTTCGCCAAACTCAATGGAAATCGTCTGGCACCATTCGAGTGGAATGACGAAAGCACGCCATGGATGAAGGGAATGTTAGTACAATTTTTGCTACAAGTGAACTGCCTTTCTTTTTTGAAAAACAATATATCAAGCAATATTTCTGGGAAAAAGTGGGAAAATGTGTTGTATTGTTAACTGCACAGCCTGAGAATTGAAGACAATGTTGGTAAATAATCTAAATTTCCATTTGTGCCCTATATAGTGGGATTTATTGATGAGTATTTTACATCTGTTTAAAATGCAATGTTACAACAAAGCTTTACAAATCAAGTATAAAATGACAGTATGTTGTATATTTAATACATGTCACTTAAGTCGACATTCAGTTTTAATTTTCTTGATTTCAAAAAAGAATTAGTTTTAAATGAACTTTTAGGTATGCACGTTTCAACAATCTGAAGCAGCAAAATCCCTCCCTGAAGACCCTTTTAGCTGTGGGTGGTTGGAATATGGCATCCGCTCCATTCACTAGAATGGTAGCTACAGACGCCAGTCGCAGGGAGTTTGCCACCAGCACTGTCCAGTTCCTGAAGAAACACGGTTTTGACGGGCTTGACTTAGATTGGGAATATCCCGCCAACAGAGGAAGTCCTCCACAAGACAAAAATAACTTCGTTGAATTGCTCAAGGTAAATTATCAATTTTGAATGTTGTTGCAATAATGTAAGTACGAGTTATTCAACATGAACTAGAAAATGGCCGAGTTTTAAACCAACTTTTACTCTTGTTTTACATAAAGCTTCTACATAATACCTTTGCAAGTGAAGGGCTTTTATTGACGATTGCTGTTCCTGCTGGCAAATCCAACATCGATACAGGATATGATGTGCCTGCCATTTCTAGGTACAGGAGAGACTTTTCTTAGGTCATATACCAAGAACTTCAATCCAGAAAAGATTTTTAAAAGGTTGCTACTGCCTGTCTCTCTCTTTTAAAATAGGAACTTTACAATCGAATAAGGTATTAGGATTGAAATTTGATAATTATATTTGTGTTAACTTTCTTTGAAAAACACAAGATTTTCATCATTTCGTTTCTGTTTAAAACTCCTGGTAATGTATGCTATTTTTTTGTTTAATAAATTTGATAGTACAATTATCAGTGGGAAAGGTACATTGTAAAGTACATCTACGTGTACTTAGCGTATGACCTTAAAACGCTGTATCATGAAGGAGGACCAAACCAAGACAAGTAAATAGGAAATCACGATTTCAGAACTTTAAAAATTGACAAAGTTCCCGCAGACCCTTCTTCCCCGCTGCGACGTCTGTGTCGCTTTCTATTTTGATCTCCAAATGAATGAATCACAAATACATGGAAATGAAATTCATTATGAAGCAGTCTGTTTTAAACACTAGGTATGTTGACCAATTGAACTTGATGGCTTACGATTTGCATGGAGGTAGCTTCGATAGCAAAACTGGACACAACAGTCCTTTGAAGAAACATCCATCAGAAACCGGAAATGACGCATACTTCAATGTGGTAATATATAGGTCCATTTTTCGGTGTTTAGGATTGATAACTTTACATTCCCTTCATTCATTTATTCACATATCATTAACTTTTAAGTTTTAACATGACAGATATACATATGAAACTAAATCACTTTTTTTTAAAAAAAGAATTCATAGTGATACTGTAGATTCCTAAATATACGCGAGGAATTAATTATCGCGTAATTACGCGAGAAGCACCACTCGCTAAATAAAATTTCTCGCTTTTATTTTTATGGTGCTGAAATCAATGTAAAATCCCTTGATCAACCGTCCACTCGCGAATTATTGTTCTCGTGATTTAACGTGAAAGAGCCATTTCGCGATAATAAGTACTCGCGAAAAATAAGGAATCTACAGTACCGAGATTTTCTTAAATGCCAATTTTCACCTAGGAAAAAGCTAAATTTTGAAGGAGTGGATCAAAGAGGGGTACATTGTAAATTTATGTTGTCATAATTATGTGCACGCCATTAAAGGATGACTGCACTTAAGGACATGCGAAAATTGCGACAAAATAAACTTTCAAAACAAGCATTTTTCTTTTCATTGCAAGAATGGCCAACATCCAATCTGCAACTTTATGTAATTACGTTTAATAAAAGTGTGTATTTACGAAGTTCGAATCTGTTTTCAAAGGCAGGGGTCATCACAGTTTCTTGAATCTCCGTACGATAATGAGGACGCCCACTTTTTTACTGACTTTATACATAGTCAGCGCATGTTTGTCTATTGTTCTCCGTTTCACAGCAGTTGTATATTTGCATAAATAATAATGTGTCAAAAGGAGATTAATAGACAAACATGCGCTCATGGTTAAAAAGAGAAAAAAACTGCTTCTTCTTACATTCGCTCTCTGTGTTGTAACCAAGGATTGTGACATGTTGAATATTATAATTAACCGCGTGATGTCCTACCTCAGGTAACTTTGTGAATACTAAATTCCGTCACGTGACTTGTAAGGTAGCATGTTTTGTGCTAACTAGGACATTGTGTTCGAACACGTTAAGTCATCTGGCATGGATATACAATGCTTTAATTACATTGACGTGCTCATATTGTTAGTTTCGTTTTGAAACCTTTGTCAGAAGTCTATTTGTGCCATATGGAATGGAGAGGGAGATTGGAAAGAGTGATCACGTTCTTTTTTCAAACATGTCATTGTTATTTATCAAGTCTAATTTTAGACCCATATTTACAATGTTAGCTCCACCTCTCATGCATATCTAATGTTCAATCAAGGGCAGGTAAGTGTAAATTCACTATATTTGGAAAGCACTAAGGACAAAAAACATTGAATCATTTTATTGTATCACAGTCTAAAATCATTTTGAGATTTAAATTTGGTTCCAAATTGGCAGGATTCTTTCATAAACATACAAAAGTGAATTAAGGTTTAGATATAAAAGCAACAGAAGCAACCGAAAAAGACCCAAAAACAGGCGTTAAGTGCAGTCATCCTTTAGTTCAATTTCACTGGCAGATTTAGAGGGGACGTGAGGAGCACATTGCCCCCACCCCCTTACAATTCCAAGGAACATGTTACAAAGGGGAAAATCGTCATGATATTAAAATGTGTATTTCATAATAGAAAAAAAAATACAGATTTGAAACTATTGCAATATTAGCATCACGTGTATTTTCTTTGATATTTCAAAGCAATCAATATCGCGGGGAAAATGGTTTCCTTAAAATACAGACCTGCAATCGGCTACCACTTGATACCAAAAAAGATTATTTTTACTACTGAATTTATCACTTTATTTGTCTCAGAAACTCTTTTATACGCATTATGCACAATAAGTGGTTTCAAAGTTCAAAAAAAAAAAAAAAAATTGGTCTTAACTTAAAGATCACAAGTAAGGTACTAGAGACATCAAAATAATGTATTCAAAAACATGTTACTCAACTGCATGCCGAGGCAACTCAATGAGTCTTTGGAACACTATAGAATCCCATAGAGCATCACGACCAGTATAGGAAATGTCCAAAACATTTGACACTGAGTGACACTAGTGAAATTCCCAAATTCCCCCAACAGTTACGAATAGTTTAATGAAGTTTAAAGACATTGAAAATAATTTGCGTGACAGCTAAAATTTATTGAAATATCTTCCATTATATAAGCACAGCAAAGACTTTTTTGCTCAAAAATCTTTTCACGAAAACGAAAATATAGATATCTTAGATACTGAGGCACAAGAAAGCTTCTTCAGACACCGGGTGGGGTGGGGTGGGGTGGGGGGGGGTCAATTTCGCTCAAATCCAAGAAAGATAAATAAGGGGGGGGCTTAAATCACAACTCCCTTAAATCACATCACAGACCCCCTGCCTCTTCAAATATTTTGCAACCCCAACTAAAATTCCTGGATCCGCCTCTGATTCAATGCTAATAAAATAATACTGTAGTAATACTGGAAGTAAAATGGATCAAATTTTTGCTTGAGTAAATTTAGTATCTGATGGATAACACTTCGTTATTTTCGAAATGACTCTTCAAAGTAATTTGTTGCTTTGAGTTTTGTATATTTTGTCAGGAATTTGCATTAAACTACTGGATTCAAAAGGGGGCACCAGCTTCCAAAATAAACCTCGGAATGCCTCTATACGGACGTTCTTTCACACTTGCCAGCACAAGCAACACAGGACTATTTGCCCCCGACAGAGGAGCGGGAGGCAATGCGGGTCCTTTTACTAGAGAGGCGGGATATTTATCATATTATGAGGTAGGAACATTAATATACGGAATTTCAGACTGAGTATAATGATTTTACAGATAGATAGTTAAGGTATATCTACAAGTAGTTGTATACAATAAAGCCCACTAATTTCCTTCAGATATGCGATATACTGAAAACGGGAGGTGTTCGACATTGGATACCGGAAATGGAGGTTCCTTATGTAGTAAGAGGAGATCAGTGGGTCGGTTACGACGACGAACAAAGTCTTCGGCTCAAGGTAAATTTCTTCTTTAAAGCTGAACATGATTCGTAAAAGCAATGTGTCCGCCATTTTTGTTCGGATTCTCGCTATATCTGAGGACCCCTATATAAAGGGCCTGACTTGGACACTGTTCAGTATAATCAGTCGACAGCGGTGTAGACGGACGTATGCTATACAACACTCGGTAGCGACAAAAATAACTGTAATACCTCGTCTAATGCAGGAAAGTAAGATACAAAAGAAACTTACAATTATAGTTGTACAGGTCAGTGCAGTATACAAACAAACACAGATACACGTAACCACAATAAAATGTAAACAAAGGTAACGCAAGATAACCAGCACGAACACGGGTCGACATTCCACGCTGATACCTGTGACAATAAAGCAGTCAGGTGTAACGAATGCGAAGAGTATACCCTGGTGTTGATGTATCGTAGATATAATATTGAAAATGGCGTATGCCTATTTACGAGTCGTGTTCAGCTTTAATGGCTTATGCCCCGATGGCCGGGCTATTAAAGTTTGGTCGGCCGAAAAAAAAAATACACACTCGATCGACACAAAAATAGGGCAACAAGCAGTCACATTCATTTTCAATTGCGCTGATGACCTTTGGCGACGTAAAACTTAAGGCTCTTGTTTATTGGGTAGAATTTCATAGTATGACCTCCTATTTACCTAATCGCCCGCGTGGCGCAGTGGTTAGAGTGTTTGCTCTGGAGTCGCAGAGTAAGGAGTTGATCCTAAGGTCCCGGGTTCGAACCCAACTGTGGGACTTAGAGACCGGTATTTTGGATGAGACCGTACCAACTGAGGTCCCATCATGCAGTAGGTGAATGCTGGTCCGCGAAAAAGATCCCTCACTGCTAAAGGATTGAAAATGCCAAGTACAGGTTCTAAATTTGCAGCCCTGCTCCGGCAAGTGGTGGGTTCTCAATATGAGTGTAAAATTTCCGAAGGGAAGTTAAAAAAACAAATAAACAAACCCATTTACTTGTTCGGTATATTCCTCTAGCATTTTGAAGATAGGAATAAAGAACCTCCCAGCAGGTCCTCTTTTAAGTCTGGGGGTATCCCTGTGAATGCCATCTCTATAATAAATTCAATCAAGAATGTTGCTGATGCCTTCGGCCTTGGGGAAGCGTTCGCTTCTCGAACGATAGACGGTCGATTGTCGGTGCCGTCTGTCTACTGCCAGCTGAAGTCGGTTGATAAATTGCTTCGGCCAACAAAAAATGTGTTTATGATATCCATTGTTTTGTCGTCTGCCAATGTCAGTCGATTTTTGCCGACTCTAATCATCTAAAACTTCGCCTGGCTGTCGATTTGTTTGTTTATATGTTGTTTAACGTCCCTCTCGAGAATTTTTCACTCATATGGAGACGCCACCACTTGCCGGTGGAGAGCTGCAAATTTTTGTCCTATGCTCGGCACTTACGGCTATTGAGCAATGAGGGATCTTTTTCGTGCCAGCACCTACTGCGACACGGGACCTCGGTTTATACGGTCTCATCCGAAGGACCGGTCTCCATGTCCCACAGTGGGATTCGAACCCGCTACGTAAGGATCAACTCCTTACTTCGCGACTCTAGAGCAGACGCTCTAACCACTGCGCCACGCGGGCGACTGCAACGATGTTGTCACAACTGAAGAAATCAAAAACGGGAAGAAATCTCTTGCTGTGGCCTTCAACTCGACATTTAGATATATCTAAGACGTATTACCAATTCACAATAGTTACTTCCATTGACACGTCGACTCGATATACCCCAGTGAGCTTGAAATAAAAGATACCGAAGAGTCTGACACATCTGTTTCATATTTCGGCATTTTATTAGAAAAAGATGCTAATGGTAACCTAAAAACAAAGCTTTACGATGACTTCAACTTTTCAATCGTCAACTTCCCTAACTTATGTAGCAATGCTCTACTTTCGAACAATATCTAAAACTAGGCAATCTATTGACAAACAAGTTGATGAAACAGGAATATCAACAGTCGTTTAAAGTCATCATTTCGCAATTTTAATGGTCGATACAATGACCTACGATCTAAGACAAATGCTGACTGACATTTTTCAAACTAGTTGTTAGACCATTCTTTACACACTGAATTGTTTGCGGATTTTTCCGTTTTACCCGACCATGACATGGAGCACACGGCGGGTATAACCGGTCGGCAGGGGATGCTCACTCCTCCATGGCACCTGATCCCACCTCTGATGTTTTAGTGGTCCAAGTTTGCTCTGCTCCTGATTTTATATTGTTTGAATGGACTTCTGAGCTTGAATACTGTTCGTTATCTCCACATTTCATTGTAAAACATATATATTTTAATAAATCAAGTTTACTAATTTTTACAGAGCGTTACTTCCGATTTGATATGCATTTTTGCACGCCGGTCTGATACGTTTGTTTGTTGTTTAATGTCCCTCTCGAGAATTTTTCACTCATATGGACACTTGCCGGTGGAGGCCTGCAAATTTATACCTATACTCAGCATTTAAGGCCATTGAGCAGTGAGGGATCTTTTACGTGCCAACACCTACTGCGACTCTGTCTATTTGGTCTCATCCGAAGGACCGGTCTCCACGTCCCAGTGGATTCAAACCCGCGACGAAAGGATGAGCCTCTTACTCCGCGACTCTAGAGCAGACGCTCTAACCACTGTGCCACGCGGGTGACTGGTCTGATACGTAATATGAGTTTTCGGACCGGTCGTTGATATGAGGTATTGTGGCATAACCCGTAGCACACACTGCGGAATCGGTGTATTTACTACTAAGTGTATGATAAATTCTTGTACTAAACATTTGTTGACTTGATAAAGTTTTTATGACATAAAAATTGCTCTATTTACTTTTAAAGAAAAAGGGAATATAAAAAATGCACTTAATATTCTTGAATTCTTTGAAATGAACACACAAAATATATGAACTCACATTTCGGGCCCCATATAAGCCATCGAGTCTTTGTCCCTTGGGATGATATGGGACCACTCGGCTGATATGACATTCTCTATGTATTTCAGTTTTTTTTTTTAATTCTCCATTATCGACGACGTGTTATCAATTAACAACAGTTACTTTCATTTGTATGGTCGACTCGATATATCCCAAAGAACTCAAAATAAAAGCTACCACAGAGTGTGCCACATGTTTCATATATTTGGATGTTTAACTGTAAATAACTAACTATATAATGTCTAAACTATATGACAAACGGAATAACTTCAAATTTTCCGTTGTCATTTTCCCCTTTTTTTTGTAGTAGTTTTCAACTATCGTGTGCACATGGTCTTTACGTCTCCTAACTAATTCGGTTCGAAAGAGCAATTTCTGAGTACGACGAACTTTAAACGGAGGCAGGCTACTAACAAATACGATGATGTAACAGGTCTTTCTATAAACTTTTTTGAAAAAGAATTTTGCTGTTGTTCTAATGGACTGTTTGCAAATACAAGTTATCGTTGGGGCGTACTTTGACTGACGTATTTCAAACCAATTGTAAGGCCATTGCTGTAATACTAATTTTAACTACGGGGTATTCATTTTACCTGATCACAGAAAAATCACAGCGGCTGTGACCGGTCAATAGAAGATTTTTACTCCTCCTAGTCACCTGATCCAACCTCTGTTGTTTTCAGGGGTTCGTAGTTTTTTGTCCTGTTCACGTTCCTTATTGTTCGGAGTGAGATTGATCAGAGTTCATTACATTCACTTTTTCGTTAAATTACGAAGCCTTCATACTTTGGATTAACCGAATCTAAAGCTGAGATCAAAAGATCAAAACTACTAGTATTGTTAGAAGCATTATGATCGTCAATATCCTAGTTACTCGCTGATATTTCGTTTGTAGGTAGATTTGGCCAAGAGTAAAGGTCTAGGTGGGATAATGGTCTGGGCTCTGGATACTGACGATTTTACCGGCAAAGAATGCGGGAAAGGAAGATACCCCTTACTTCATGCCATTAATGATGAACTCAACTCAGCTCAGCCTCAAACGTAAACATTAATTATATAAATTTTAATTTCTACGTTATTTTACAGTTTCTAGTTTTTTTTCTGCTTTACAACTTTGTTCTTAAAAGGACAACTCGAAGTCCCATGACAACAACAACACATAGAACGACAAGACAACATCAACAAACAACTCACATCAATATATTCAATCCAGTTACAAGTAAGTTATTTCTAGATCATTTGCAAATATGCCAAAAAGTTTGAAAATTCTCATGAAATGTAATTTTTCTTAAATGTTTACTACAGACTTTTTCACCGAAAAAGACAAAATAACTCCAATATTTGCATGTTGACTATTAAAGTGAAAATGAGACCAGGACAGGTCAAGTCCTTTCATGGGCAAAGGTCAAATAAAACTTTACCAGGACTTACGCAATTTGCAGACGATCATTATTTCATTTTGATTTACATTATAAAGCACACACTCAACGTCCTATTCACACAAGCCAGTCATTCAGCTGTAACACAAGAGCGAGTGGGTTTTACGCTGATCCGACCTCCTGCACACACTACTATATTTGTGTGGGAGGCAGAAGTTTTGGTGTAGACTGCGCTAATGGTCTTCACTTTAATGATGCCACCAAGTATTGTGACTGGCCAAGAAATGCTAACTGTCAGGTACAACAATCTGTTCTAACAACTGCCAGATCGACCTACGCTCCGATCACAACAAAGCAACAATGGCAGACGACAAGGCCTTTCTATCACGTCATCACAACTCGACCAACACAGGCAACTACCATACCAAACTTAGGTATAGTCTTGATTTATGATTTATTTGAAGAACTTTTAAAAATGTCTTTATAATAAAGTGGACTTTGGTTTAGTTTCTGTTTACCATAGTCACCAGATCAACATTGATTTTCTATGAAAGCAGATTATTCTGATACTTATCTTTTTAAGTCATCTCCATCTTATTCTTTTTAAAAAGTTGTTGCCATGGTTATTGGGAAGGAAATACATTGTTAAATTCTTGGAAAATGCTACTTCTATGGTTTTCGAGTTACATAAAAACCTAGAAAAAACCCTTGGATAACAAATATTCCCATTAGAATGCAAAAATATGTGTAAATTTATCAATTTTGACTGATAGTGTTGCTGTTGCAAATATTATGGAAAATGTACCTCTTTTAATTGAAAGAATTTTAACATCAACATATTCAAAAAAATTTAAAAAGGCTGCTATCCGTAGTTAGGAAAATCTATGCGCATATTGAGAGAATACCTCAATACAATCCCTCTAGAAATAAGTGATTTATGTTCTACACTGCAGTGAAGTCTCGGTACAAATGTTCTAGAATCACTTATCAGATACGTTGAGAGTAATTGCTCTAAATCCAGAACAAAGGTACTTGAAATTTTATTTTATTATACAGGTGCAAATGCAAATGCTTTCTGCCAACATAAAGCGGATGGACTATACCGTGACCCAGCGAACTGCGGAATGTTTTATCAGTGCGATATGAACTTAGGGTTCCACGAGCCGTGTCCTCCAGGACTAGTTTTTAATGAACCTCTCGCTGAATGTGACTACTCTTACAATGTTCCTCAGTGTCCTTGAATTTCCTTTTGTTCAGTTTCATATTTTCAATAAAAGACTGTAATCGTGGAATTCTGTATTTTTTGTCCTTAGAATTCAACAGAAGGAGGTAAAGTAAGTAGAGCAAATCTAGCAAAAATGGGCTCAAAAAAGTGAATGTATCTATTCTGGTAGGTACTTGACAAGGACAAAATTGCTTTATACGAAGGAAGTAATTTTTTTAGAATAAAAAAAATGATTATACTGTATATTATCGTCAGTACAAATACGGAGTTTTTTGGATATCATTTTTAATTTAAACTGTACTTTCACACAAATTGCACAAATACATACAAATGTACAAGACAAACAAAATTAATGGAGACAATTTCTAAATTAGTGTGAAACTTTAGAAAGAGAGAAAGAAAGAGGGGATGGAATTAAAGTGATTGCCTATCAAAACAAACGGACCTGTTCAGATTCTGCAAGATCCATTCCTCAATCTTTAACCAAAGTTCTTGTACTAGAGGACATTCAAAAAAAGATGATAAATACTTTCGATATCCTTCCGTCAGATAGAGCATTATGGTGAATCAATAAATCTTAATTAAAAAAAGTGAAAATTTGGAGGAATTATAAAGTTTGGAATTGTAACCAATGGAATTTAAATTCTTGGGTTGTTTTAAATGATAGCTCTTATTTCTTCTCAGGATGCTTCACTAAATTAGAATTTGGTAGAGTGAGGACAAGATGATCATAATTAATATCATTTTTTATAAAGATACGTACGGCAAGGTTGTTTTTTTTAATGTACATAGAAACTAAAGCAATTATAAAAGAAAGATTTGACTTTAAAACGAAATGAAATTACTATCTGGTTTCTTAAGGTCCGTTATACCAACATTTGGTTGATAATTTTGGTGTACAATATTACTTGCGTAAACCTATTAATCATATGTACAAAATACAATTTGCTAGAATTAGACTATCTGCCCATAATCTAAATGTTGAAACTGGTAGATATGTTAATGAAATTTAAAAAAAAAAAGATTATGTAAAATGTGCTCTTTGAATGTTATTGAAGACGAATTTCATTTTATTTTACAATGTCCTTTTTATCATGACCTTAGATCGAAGTATTTGAAAAAGTATTATTATAAGAAATCCAGTGTTTGGAAATTAATTCAACTTCTAAGTGTACAAAATATAAAGGAACTTTGTAACCTTAGAAAATATTTATATCAAGCTTCCATTAGAAGAATGAAACATTTGTAAATTTTTAGTGTTTTATAATTACAGTCGCCTGTTAAAAACACGTCCTACATAGTTTACTTGCTATTTATTGATTATGCTCACTCTCATATTGTTATATTTTATAATATTGTATATTGGTTTAGTTATTACTATATGTAATCTGATGTGTCGTATGACGCAAAGAAATAAAGAACTTGAACTTGAACTTAAGGTCAAACCGTAAAAAAAGCTACATAAGTCAGTATAGACTTCTGGTAACAATTGGCGACGGGGAATTATACGTTTAATCAAAATCTCAAAAATTACGTGTTTACAATTATTGGGATAACTTAGACAAAGTGATTGCTGGAAGTTCACAGGATGCGTAAAACCACGGCCCGTGAACGCCTTGTGAACTTCAGTTATCACTTTGTCTAGACTATTCCAATGTTAAAAAACACATTATTTTTGAGATAATAATAAACAATTCAAAAAGGCAAGTTTGCTAAACCATCGCATCTCATTGGAAGACTGTAGAGAAAGCACGAAAAGCCCTTGCATCAAAATGTAAACATGACTGTCTGTGTAATTTCAGGTAAAGAAAATTATAATTGTGTGTGCGTTAAAATAGACGGACTAACGGAGAGAAAACATGTAGTCTCCTTTGGTTTTATATGGGGGATTTAAAATAAAAATGATAAAAAATAAATCAATAAAACACACACACCACAAAAAGAAGAAAAACAGAAGAAACAAGATGTGTTTGTGAAACACTGATGCCCCCGTGTGGCAGCTTATGGCGAAGGGTAAAGTTTCTCAAATGCAAGTCAAACTCCAAGGTCAAGAAATCAAAAGTGTTGGTACCCAAAGAAAGGTCTTGTCTCGAGAAATATACCTGTGAAGTATGAAAGCCCTAGTACAAACCGTTGAAAAGTTATGGCGAAGGATAAAGTTTTTTCAAAAGTAGGTCAAACTCCAAGGTCAAGGTCAAAGGGTCAAAGTTGATGGTATGTAAAGGAAGGCCTTGTCACAAGGAATGCATATGTGAAGTATGAAAGACCTAACACCAACAGTTCAAAAGTAATGGCCAAGGCTAAAGTTTTTCAAAAGTAGGTGAAACTCCAAAGTCAAGGTCAAAGGGTCAAAGTTGATGGTATCCATGGAAAGGTCTTGTCACAAGAATTAAACTTGTGAAGTATGAAAGCCCTAGTACTAACTGTTCAAAAGTTATGGCTAAGGTTAAAATTTTTCAAAATTGAAGTAGGTCAAACTCCAAGGTAAAGGTCAAAAGGTCAAAGTTGTTGGTATCCAAAGAAAGGTCTTGTCACAAGGAGTACATATGCTAAGTATGAAAGACCAAGCGTAAAGTGTTCAAAAGTTATGGCCAAGGTTAAAGTTTTTTCAACAGTAGGTCAAACTCCAAGGTCAAGGTCATAGGGTCAAAGATGTTCAAATCCAAAGAAAGGTCTTGGTATAAGAAATATACATGTGAAGTTTGAAAGCCCAAGCTCCAGCTGTTCAAAAGTTATGGCTAAATTTAAAGTCTCAAAAAATTTTGCAAAAGTGGGTCAAACTCTAAGGTCAAGGTAAAAGGTCAAATATGATGGTACCCGAAGAAAGATCTTGTCACATGGAATATACATGTGAAATATGAAAGCCATAGCTTCAACATTCAAAAGTGATGGGCAAGGTTAAAATTTTGCGGACAAACAGACAGACACACAAACAGACAGACAGACGGACAGGGCAAAAACTATATGCCCCCGAATCTTCGATTACGGGGGCATAAATAGAAATATGAGGGGAAAAAAAGAGCCAGCCCTCTTTCCTTTCCCGTTTTCTAAGTGTATTTAAGGCCCAAAATTTCAGTATTTAAAAAAAAATGTATTGTGTTCTATTTTTCTTGATTTTAAGACTACCTGCTTTCACATTTACTATATTTTCAAAATTTCCAAGGAAACTTGTCAACACCAAGATATGGGGTATACATGTTCAAGAGAGTGTTATGCAAAATATTTGCTGTCAACTATGTTCAAATATCTTTCTCTGTTAACCTTAGATATAGTATATAAAAGAAAAGAAAAAATGGCATGTAAACAATTCAGATTTTGGGAAATTTGAAAGGTATTCTGAAGGACGTGAGCAGATTTAGCATCAATTTGTTTATGTTTTATATTGAAAATTTCTTAGCTAGTAAATACTTTTTTGTTTTCATAAGTTCTAATATAATATGTTTTAAGGCATAACGTAATAAAAATTGAAATCGGGATTCTTTTTGTTAAAATTTGGCTGCTAAATGAGAGATGTGTACTTTGAAACATATTGTATAAAAATGAGCATGCAAAGGTATGTCTTACTTGGGCTTCTTAGTAAATGATTTGTTTTAATTATTTAAATGACAAAAAAAATTGACCATCACTTAACATGTGAGTTTAGGATAACTGTACTAATACTGTACAGTAGAACTCGAAAATATTTAGATCATGTTCTACTGCCAAGGTGCCATTCTATGGGATTATCAGATTTGCTTTGATAACATTGGAACACAAGGTAGACACGTAGAATTTTACCTTAAATATAAAAAATTGCTAAATATGCAAGACAAGTCGTAAAAAGAGGTCGTAAGCACTCAGTCCTTAAGACTTTAATAACAATTGGCGACAGGGCATTCATAAGGTTTGTCAAGGCTGGTTCTGAAATAGATTCGATTGATTGATTGTTAGGGGCTTTATGCTGAGTAGGCAGTTTCTCAACCATTTTTCAGCAAAAAGAGAATTCGATGATGTACACAAACTAACAAATGAAAAAAAGGGGAGGGGATAACTTTGAAAATTATTTGCCCTCAATTATTTGGATAAGCCCCGCCCACTCGAACAGAAAAATTTATCTAATCTAATCTAATCTAATCTTATCTTATCTAATTTATTTAATTTAGTGCTCCTGCACTGCTTATATTTTTCATTTCCAAAAACGTATACTTTCTTTGATATTTAGATATGTGACTTTGTGCAAATTTCTTTACAACTCTATAAATTTTTTGCACACATCTTATGACATTATTCGAAATCTTACGAAATTTCCACCCTTATTCAAGCTATCTAAATGTATATGAACATAAAGGATGGCTGCACTTAAGGACATGCGGAATTTGCGACAAAATAAACTTTCAAAACAAGCATTTTTCTTTTCATTGCAAGAATGGTCAACATCCAATCTACAACTTTATGTAATTACGTTTAATAAAAGTTCGAATCTGTTTTCAAAGGCAGGGGTCATCACAATTTCTTGAATCTCCGTTCGATAATGAGGACGCCCACTTTTTTGCTGACTTTATACATAGTCAGCGCATGTTTATCTATTGTTCTACGTTTAACAGTAGTTGTATATTTGCATAAATAATAATGTGTCAGAAGGAGATTAATAGACAAACATGCGCTCATGGTTAAAAAGAGAAAAAAAACTGCTTCTTCTTACATTCGCTCTCTGTGTTGTAACCAAGGATTGTGACATATTGAATATCATAATTCACCACGCGATTTCTTACCTCAGGTAACTTTGTGAATACTAAATTCCGTCACGTGACTTGTATGGTACATGTAGCATGTTTTGTGCTAACTAGGACACTGTGTTCGAACACGTTAAGTCATCTGGCATTGATATAAAATCTGCTTTAATTACATTGACGTGCTCATATTGTTAATTTCGTTTTGAAACCTTTGTCAGAAGTGTATTTGAGCCATACAGAATGTAGATGGAGATTGGAAAGAGTGATCG